CCGCCAGAGGACATTCCGACAGAGTGGCTGCTCTCGGTCCCCGGTGGCTGGGAATATGGGGAGCCCGCCCCCAGCCCTCAGTGCTGGAAACCACAGCAACCCCCCCTCCCTGACCCCGCAGGGCAGACGGGTCCTGGCCAGGGCCGGGTCCCCCGGGAGTGAGGCCACGGGGGGCCTCGGGGGCCTGAGGGGAGGGACCTGGCGGGACCCCCGAGTTCTCCGCTGACCGTCAGGGACCCTCCGGAGCTCCAGCACTGAGCCTCCTCCTCCCAGACCCTCTGCCCGCTCACCCCCCCGTGGGGATCGCCCCCTCCCTGCCCGGGGGACCCCGAGGCCTGGTCTCCAGCCCTGTCCCTGGGGCCTGCCTGTCCCGGGCCCGGGCCCAGCCTGCGGTGGCGGAGGGAGCCCGCGCCCAGAGGCCGGCCCGAGCCTCCCTCGCTGCGTCTGGGGAACGAGAAGCAGCTGACATGTGGGAGGCATTAGCCCGGTCCGGCCTGGTGCTGCACAGCCCGGCGTTCCCGCTGGCAGCGGCTCGGGGGAGGGCTGAAACTTGAGAGAAAGAGCAGTACACCCCGCACTCTCACGGGGAGCAGAGCGGCCGGAGGCAGTCCCAGCGGCCCCTTCCTGCTGCCGGTGAGTGGGGGGCTCCGGGGGGCTGGGCCTCGGCTCCGGGGTCCCCCGCTCCGGGGCCGCCTGGGGGAGGGGCGCCTGCTTGTGGCACCTGCTGTATCCCCCGGGGACGCCACCGAGCGTGAACTGGGGGGGACAGGCAGTGAGGGTGTCCTGAGTGTGAACTGGGGGGGACAGGCAGTGAGGGGGGGACAGGCAGTGAGGGGGGGACAGGCAGTGAGGGCGTCCCAAGCATGAACTGGGGGGGACAGCAGTGAGGGTGTCCTGAGCGTGAACTGGGGGAGGGGAGGACAGGCGGTGAGGGGGGGACAGGCAATGAGGGGGGGACAGGCAGTGAGGGGGGGACAGGCAGTGAGGGGGGGACAGGCAGTGAGGGCGTCCCGAGCGTAAACTGGGGGGGACAGGCAGTGAGGGTGTCCTGAGTGTGAACTGGGGGAGGGGGGGACAGGCGGTGATGGGGGGAAAGGCGGTGAGGGCGTGTGGGCCCGAGGGAGTCCTGCAGGTGGGTTCTGGTTTCTCCGGCCACGGATGGAGGGCGGGCTGGGGCAGGGGTCACTGGTGCCGGGTCAAGGGTGAGAGGGTGGCTTCCAGGGTTGGGAGGCAGCGAGATGAGGCCGGAGCCACCTCCACTCGGGGTGTCCCTGGTGGAGGTCCTGCACTGAGCCGGGGTCACCAGGCAGGTGGTGTGGCCACGGGGAGAGCGGTCAGAGCTGGACCACCAGAGGACGTGGGAACGCCACCAGCCCCTGAGCCGCAAACCTACGGGGTCTGGGCCTCCGCAGGGAGCGTGGACGGCTGGCGGGGCCACCCGTCCGCCTGGGGCCACGTGGGGGTTGCTGGCAAGACCAGCTATGCCAGCCCCGGCCGGTTCGGCTCAGGGGGTAGCGCGTCAGCCTTAGGAGCAAAGGGTCCCGGGTTCGATTCCGGTCAAGTGCACGTGCCTCCGTGGCAGGCTCCTCCCCAGCCGGGGCCCTGGTGGGGGCGCCCACAGGAGGCAACCCATCGACATGTCTCTCTCACATGGATGCGTCTCAGTCTCTCCCTCTCTCTCCCTCCCTCTAAAAATCAGTGGAAAAATCCCTCTGGTAAGGATTAAAAACAAATAAACAAGAATCCAGCTAAGCCAGGTTCCCAGTGGGGGGTGTCCAGGAGGCAGACGGGGGGGGGGACAGGAAGGGGGGGACAGATGTCCCTCTGGCCTCCGCCTCTGGGGAGGAGGTTGAGGCTGCACTGTCCGGCCAGCAGGTGGGGGCCAGGCCCGCTCCCCCAGTGGGCAGGTGTCCGAGGGGCAGGAGTCAAATGGAAAGCAGGGTCCCGGGAGTCCAGCTCTGGCACCAGCCCCTCCAAGGCGGGCAGCTCGCCCGTTTGCACGGAGCCTGGAGCCAGCGGTGTGCACAGCTCCCCCGCTAGCCCCCCACCCTGAGGCTGTGGCCGCGTTCCTGCTGCCGAGCGGGGAGGGAGTGACCGCCCAGACCGCCGAGGAGAGGCTGCGACGGAAACTGCAGGTCCGACAGACAGACAAAGAGGGGAGCGAGTCAGCCCGCAGGGGACGGACCCCCGGAAGCCACCGTGCTGCTCCCGTCACAGCCACCAGCAAACATCACAGACCCCGAAGCGCACGCAAAACCGCTCCCCCGACATTAACGATCGGATCCCCCGAAGAGATGCCGCGTGCAGACCAGGAGAGGAATCGGGAGCCCCAGGGGCCACCTCAGGAGGGCGGGTCTCCGAGCCAGAGCGTACGCAGCGAGCGCCGGGGACTTCTCTCCGAAAGGCAGGCAGGGACTCGGGCTGGCAGCCGAATGCCGGCCGGCCTGGGTGGGAGACATTGCACAGCCCAAGGACGAGGCAGAGTGGAGCCTGGATGGCACTGGGCTCCGCACCCGCGCCCACCGCACCCGCGCCCACCGCACCCGCGCCCCCCGCACCCGCGCCCCCCGCACCCGCGCCCCCCGCACCCGCGCCCCCCGCACCCGCATCCACCACACCCCGCGCCCCCCGCACCCGCGCCCACCGCCCCCCGCGCCCACCGCACCCGCGCCCACCGCACCCGCGCCCCCCGCACCCGCGCCCCCCGCACCCGCGCCCCCCGCACCCGCATCCACCACACCCCGCGCCCCCCGCACCCGCGCCCCCCGCACCCGCGCCCCCCGCACCCGCGCCCACCACACCCTGCACCCACCACACCCTGCACCCACCGCACCCGCGCCCACCGCACCCCGCGCCCACCGCACCCCGCGCCCACCGCCCCCCGCGCCCACCGCACCCGCGCCCACCGCACCCGCGCCCCCCGCACCCCGCGCCCACCGCCCCCCGCGCCCACCGCACCCGCGCCCACCGCACCCGCGCCCCCCGCACCCGCGCCCCCCGCACCCCGCGCCCCCCGCACCCGCATCCACCACACCCCGCGCCCACCGCACCCGCGCCCCCCGCACCCGCGCCCCGCGCCACCCACGCCCCCCGCACCCGCCGCACCCCGCGCCCACCGCACCCCGCGCCCCCCGCACCCGCGCCCCCCGCACCCCGCGCCCCCCGCACCCGCGCCCCCCGCGCCCACCGCACCCGCGCCCACCGCACCCGCGCCCACCGCACCCGCGCCCACCGCACCCTGCACCCACCACACCCTGCACCCACCACACCCTGCACCCACCGCACCCTGCACCCACCGCACCCGCACCCGCGCCCACCGCACCCTGCACCCACCGCACCCGCGCCCACCGCACCCGCATCCACCGCACCCGCGCCCCCCGCACCCGCGCCCCCCGCACCCGTGCCCCCCGCACCCCGCGCCCCCCGCACCCCGTGCACGAGGCGGAGCCTCCGGGCTCTGAGGGGACGTCTGCGCCCAGAGTGCGTATGAGACCCGCAGAGGCGGGGAGAGGAGGGCTGGAGCACCAGCTCCAACAAGATAAGCACTGGAACAGGAAGGGGGGGCGCCTCCAGGTGTGAGGTCACCCCAAAACTGCCCATGGAAGCACAGAGCTCCCAACACAGAGACAACTCCGGGCGAACAGGAGCCCCACAGCGGCCGTGCGGCTCCGGAGGGAGCTCCATCTGTGAACCCAGAGAGTGGAGTTCCATTCCCGGTCCGGGCACAGGCTGGGTGGCAGGCTCCATCCCCAGTGGGGGGTGTGCAGGAGGCAAGGGATCCATGATTCTCTCCCATCATTGATGTTTCTCTCTCCCTCTCCCTTCCTCTCCCTTCCCCTCTGAAATCAATTTTTAAATATTTTTAAAAATGCTACTCATCACCCTGACCAGTGTGGCTCAGTGGATAGAGCATTGGCCTGCAGACTCAAGGGTCCCGGGTTTGATTCCAGCCAAGGGCATGTGCCTTGGTTGCAGGCACATCCCCAGTGGGGGGGGGGGGGGATGCAGGAGGCAGCTGATCAATAAAATATATATATTTTTAAATGCTACTCATGATGATTGAGGTTCTGGCGCGCCCAGTCTGGCAGCTGTGCCTCAGGCCAGTGCCTCGATCGGTCACCCTCGTCCAGCCCGGCACCCCCTGAGCTACAGAGCAGGACAGGCTGAGCCAAAGCCATGTCTGTGGTTCGAGAACAGGCCGTCATCCTGGGACCTGGGCCTAGGGCCCTGGGTACGAATGTCCCCCCACGTCCTGGGTGACTCGGGTTCGGGTTCTTGGCTCTGGCCTCGCCATTCCTTTGATTCAGGTTTGGGACACACCCATAGCCCTGAGGCAGGCAATTCCAGTAACAAGCAGACTATCTTATCAGCAAGGACTTACATGAGACTAAAAAGTGAAAGTGGCTTGAACCAGATGCAGGTATGTGGCATTGACCTCCCAGAGCCTCGAGGCCTCCAGCCTTCGGCTTCCTGTCCTTGGCCGTCCACACCTCTCTGCCAGTGAATTCAATGAGCGGTTTCCCACATGGGGCCACGCCCTGCAGCCTCCGAGGACACACTGGCCGCTGGGCTTCTGGCTCAGCCCGAGTCCAGCCCCCGTCCCCGGAGCCGGCGAGGCCCGCGGCTGCAGGCCAGGAGATGGGGTGCAGACCCTGGCACAGGTGGGTGTGGCTGGAGCAAAGTTCAAGTGCCTCCTCGCTCCGGTTTGCAGACCTGAGCTCCAGAGGCCCTGGCCGGTGCAGGAGGCAGGAACAGCCTGGCCCCGGGCCAACAAGCCCTTCCGTGTGGATTCCGGCCCCTCCCCAGGGGTCAGCAGCCTCTTACTACCCCTCAGCCTGGCCCAGACAGCCACGCCCAGCCGTCCATCACCTCCCCTCCCGGCCAGGAATGTGCTGATTGCTGATAACGTGGCCCCTCCTGCAGCCACCACCGGACCCGAGGCCTCGGCTCTGTCTTCCCGCCGGCAGCCCGAGCAGCCCGGAACCTGCCCTGGGAGCGTCATGTGGACCCGCTGGTGGCTCTGGCCCCTGGTGGCCGTCTGCACCGCGGACCAGTTTCTGGACCAGGCAGAGAGGATTATGGCGACCACACCTGTCATTGACGGGTAAGTGGCCTCCGTGGGCTGGGGAGCCGGGAGCTGGGAGCCGGGAGCCGGAAGCTGGGAGCCGGGAGCCGGGAGTCGGGAACTGGGAGTCGGGAGTCGGGAACTGGGAGCCGGGAACTGGGAACCAGGAGCCGGGAACTGGGAGCTGGGAACCGAGAGCTGGGGGCCGAAAGCCGGGTGCCAGGAGCTGGGAGCTGGGGGCCGGGAACTGGGAGCTGTGATCCGGGAGCCGGGAACTGGGAACCGGGAACCGGGAGCTGAGAGTCGGGAGCCGGGAGCCGGGAGCTGGGAGCTGGGAGCCGGGAACCCGGAGCCAGGAACCCGGAGTCGGGAGCTGGGAGCCGGGAGCCGGGGGCCGGGGGCCGGGGGCCGGGAGCTGGGAGCCGGGAGCCGGGCCGTGTGCCCCGGAGGGGAGGCAGGCACTGCCCTCCTCCTCCTGGACTCGGTTTCTCTAGCTGTAACGTGGGTCTTGCCTTTCGCTGGCCTGGTTCTCTGTGGGGTCTCACAGGCCCCATAGGCCCACCCAGAGGGGCCCGTAGGGAGGGAGCAGGAGGCACGTGGTGGGTCCATGGGGCACCCTGCAGCCTGGTCCCTGTGCAGAGTGGGTGCTGGGTGAAGGGACGTTGGGGGCCTGGCCGGGACACGGTCCTTGCTTGTCCTAGGGCTAGTGGCAGGCCTTCCCTGACCTGGGGGTGCACCTTGCACACACCTCTGCCTGTCTGCTGCAGCATCACACACACACACACACACACACACACACACACCCGGCCACACGGCCTCAGCTTCCTGCAGGTGAGGGTGGTGTCCACCACAGGCCCTGTGCCACCCGTCACAGCCAGCCTGGCAGCACCCATGCACCTGCTTCCCGCACCCCATCCCCCTCAGGGCTGGGCACTCGTTAGCCGGATGCCCCGCTTCCTCCAGCCAAAGTCTGTATTGGCTCCGCGGCCAGAGGGAGTCTGGGAGATCTAGTCCCGCTCAACCCCGCCCCCACCCGTGGCTGCAGCCGATCCAGTGCCCCAGGGCTCACACGGTCCCTGCTCGTCCTGCACCTGCACCCCCTCCGCTCCCAGGGCTGGTGGCAGGCCTTCCCTGACCTGGGGGTGCTCCCTGCACATACCCTTGCCTGTCTCCTGCAGTGTTCCACACACACACACACACAGCACACATACACACACAAACACACACCTACACACACACACACACACACACCCCTACACACACACACATACACACACACCTACACACCTACACACACACACTCACACATACACCTACACACACACACACACACACCTACACACACACACACAGCACACATACACGCACATCCCACACACATGTACACACACATACACACACCTACACACACACACACACACACACACACCCCTCCATACGCACACACCCACACGCACACCCTCACACGCACACACGCCGCTGAAAGCCGGGACTGGGTCCCAGGCACTCACGGGGCCCCTGGGGCCTGGCGGTGTGAGCAGCCCTCCCGCCCCGTGCTGGCTGCTCATTAATGTGCAGGCCTCACTGCTTGGCAGAAGCCTCGGGGTTTGTTGGACAAGAGACTCTGCAAGGTAAGCAGAGAAGACGGGGGGGTGGGGGGGTGGGGGGGGCGGTGCAGGGAAGATGGGGAGCTGTAGGGGCCCAGGGGAAGAGGGGTGCCAGGTGCCCCACTCTGCCTGCCCCACCCCCGTCCTCCCTCCATCTCCTCCCTGGACCTCGAGTCCCCGAGGGTCCTGGGGAGGTGTCTGCCCTGAGGCCTGCAGTGGAGTGGGGTTTGGGGAGAGGGGGAAGACACCCACAGCAGGAGCCCGAGGAGCTGTGCCTCCATTCTGGGGGGCTCAGGGCAGCTGGGCACGGAGAGGGGGACCGAGTTCAGGGCCTGGGGCTGTGCGGAGGCGCTGGGGAGTCCGCCGGCTGGAGTAGGCCAGAGGAATGCTCCAAGGCCTGGAGAGCTAGGACTAGGCCAACAGGATCAAAACCAGTAATAGCGGATTGCAGCCTGGCCAGGGTGGCTCCGTGGTTGAGCGTCAACCAAGGAACCAGGAGGTCACAGTTCAATTCCTGGTCAGGGCACATTCCCTGGTTGTGGGCTCGATCCTCAGTAGGGGGCATGCAGGAGGCAGTGGATGCATGATTCTCATCATTGATGCTTCTATCTCTCTCTCCCTCTCCCTTCCTCTCTGAAATCAACAAAAATATATTTTTAAAAAAACAGTGGATTGCAGGTAAAAGACCCAAACGGGTGGCTTCCACATCAGAGAAACCTGAGGGAGTTCTGAGGGGCTCCATATGCCGAGAACTTGGTGCAGCCACCAGCCCCAGGTCCCTCCCCTCGTAGTGCAAAGTGGCTGCAGCTGCTCCAGCCATCACGTCTGCCAGCCTGCCGGCAGCAATAAAAGGGGGAACCACCCGTCTATCAAGGACGGCTTGGGGCGCTGTCACAGGGCAGACGGAGTGGCCCGGCCGCACCCAGCCATAAGGGAGGGGGAAGTTTCTGGTTCAGGGGGCCCTGCCCCTGCTGGGCAATGTTAACAAGGGAAAGGGGGCGCGGCCACCACAGCGTCTCCAATAACAGCTGCCCCAGTGTGTGTGCTGCTTGCCCTCGGGGCCCTCACCTTCCCCAGAGTGGTCTCCCCGCCGCTGAGGACGAGGCCCAGTGGCAGTGGGAGGTGGGGCAGCGGGAGGTGGGGCTGTGTTTCCCTCCAGGGCTGGGGTCCTCAGGAAAGGAACACTGTCCCCTCCAGAGGCCCTGCCCCCCGGGGAGCCCCAGAGCCAGACACCCCCACCCTGCAGGGAGGGAGTGGCCTTGCCCACCCTCCACCACTGGGGCAGCCGAGGTGCCTGAGCCCCAGCCTAGTCCCTGAGGCGTCCGTCAAACCTCAACTTCACAGAACCCCTTGCCCCTCCCCAGAGAGCGGGGTGGCCTCCAGGGTCTGAGGGGGGAGCATGGCGGGGAGGGGGGGCCAGGACAAAGTCCCTCTAGGCCCAGACTGTCCTCACAGCCCCTTGTTACCAGGTTAGGAGTCCAGAGGGCACCTGCCTAATGTCCCACGTATATACATGCACACGTGTTTGCGATGTGTGGGTGTGCATGCACACATGTGGTATGTGTGAGCATGCATGTATGTGATGTGTGTGAGCATGCACGTGTGTGTGTGCACACACTTGCTCACAGTGGCTGGTGGTCTGGCTGGGCCTGGTACTCTGCATTCTAACCAGCGCCCAGGGCCTGTGTGGCTTGCACAGGTGCATGGGACCCCGAGGATGGAAGACCCATCCATTTCAGGCTCTCAGCTCAGGTGGCCTGGCTCAGGTGCGCTCCGGTAATGAGTGTCCCCTGGGGTCAGCCTCAGCCCTGGGCGTGTGAGGAGCAGGAATCAGAGAGGGGACAGAGGCTGGAGAGGGAGCGTGGAGCCCCAAGGTCCAGCGGCCGCCATGACCTGCCTCCTGCCCTCCTCCTGCCCCTCCCCCTCCCCCTCCAGGCACAACGACCTGCCCTGGAGGCTGCTGACCAAGTTCAACAACCAGCTCCGGGAGAAGGGCGCCAACCTGAGCACCCTGGCCGGCACGCACACCAACATCCCCAAGCTCAGGGCCGGCTTTGTGGGCGGCCAGGTACCGTTCGCCACTGGGTTCACCCATGCTGGGGTCCCCCCCCTCCTCCCTTGGGTCCTGGCTAAGGGGCACCCCCACCCCCCTGCCACTCTCCTCGAGGCCACAGACCCGGCGGACAGGCCGTGGGGACGGCTTCGGGGTGCGAGGCGGGGGAGGGGAGGCCTGGAGCCTCAGGTCCCAGCCCCGCCCCGTGGCCCCCAGTTCTGGTCCGCGTACACGCCCTGCGACACCCAAAACAAGGACGCGGTGAGGAGGACGCTGGAGCAGATCGACGTCATCCACCGCATGTGCCAGATGTACCCCGAGACCTTCCTGTGCGTCAGCAGCAGCCAAGGTGGGTGCCGCCGCCGCCTCCCCGGCCCCACACCGCCCTCTGGCGAGCAGAGGCCGCCGGTGCAGCTCGGCCAGTGGTTCGGGTTTGCTCCCACTGCTCGCCCCGGGCGGGCGGGCACTCCTGCCACCAGGTACCCACAGCCCCGCCCGCTCTGCCCACAGGCATCCGGCAGGCCTTCCAGGAGAAGAAGGTGGCCAGTCTGATTGGCGTGGAGGGCGGCCATTCCATCGACAGCAGCCTGGGCGTCCTGCGGGCGCTCTACCACCTGGGCATGCGGTACCTGACCCTCACGCACAGCTGCAACACGCCCTGGTGAGTGACCCCAGGAGGCCCCGGCGGGGAGGGGGCGGGGCGGGGTGGCGAGAAGCCCCTTTGGTGGGCGGGGACCATGGCCCTCCTCTCTCCAGGGCGGACAACTGGCTGGTGGACACCGGGGAGGACAATGTCCAGAATGGAGGTCTGTCAGAGGACTTCGGGGAGGTAGGTGGCTGGGCAGGCACCTCCGCTTCCCTCGCTTGCAAAACGGAACTGAGCCCCGGCTGGTGTGGCTCAGTGGATAGAACGTCGGCCCTCGGATCAAAGGGTCCCAGGTTCGATTCCGGTCAAGGGCATGTATGTACCTTAGCTGCAGACACATCCCCAGGAGCGGGCGTGCAGGAGGCGGCTGATGGATGATTTTCTCTCATCGATGTTTCTGACTCTCTATCCCTCTCCCTCCCTGTGAAAAATCAATAAAGTTTTTTATACATAAACACGGAGCTGGCCAGGGGCCTCCCAGGCTGAGCATTTAGCTGGAACCCACTGGTCAGGGCAGTGGCCCCAGGCTTCAGCCAGGGAAGTGCTGGACACCTGGCCAGCAGGGGCCCCGCCCAGCCCTCCCCCTGCCTGGACCCCCAGGGGGCGGCGGTGAGCCCCAGAAGCCTGTGCCACCGCCCCCTGGCCGGGCGGGGCCCGGCGCTCCGGCCCCTGAGCCCCGTGTCCCCTCAGAGTGTGGTGCGGGAGCTGAACCGGCTGGGCGTCATCATCGACCTGGCCCACGTGTCCGTGGCCACCATGAAGGCCGCCCTGAACCTGTCCAGCGCCCCCGTCATCTTCAGCCACTCCTCCGCCTTCGCGCTGTGCAGGCACCGGCGGAACGTGCCGGACGACGTGCTGCAGCTGGTGGTGAGGGCAGCTGGTGGTGAGGGCGGCGGCTCAGCCCCGGGCGGGCCTGGGCCCCGGCGGGCCTCGGGGGCCAGGGCTGCCCCAGCCCCACGCCCACGGCCCCTCTCTCTCCGAGCAGAAGCAGACGGGCAGCCTGGTGATGGTGAACTTCTACAATGACTACGTCTCCTGCAAGATGGAGGCCAACCTGTCGCAGGTGGCAGGTAGGTGGGCGCGCGCGGGCGCGGGGCAGGGGGCGGGGCCTCTCCCGGCACCCACACCCGCTGCCTCCCCCCAGACCACCTGGACCACATCAAGAAGGTGGCGGGCGCCGGGGCCGTGGGCTTCGGCGGCGACTACGACGGTGTTTCGAGGTGAGGACGGAGACTGTTCGGTGTGTGGGCCGGGGGTCGCGACCCCCAGAAACCAGGGGCCGGGGGAGGGCAGTGGGTCCTGCGGGCCTTCCCAGCGTGCATTGCTCCGAAGGCCATGCCTCGCACCCCCAGTGCCTCGGGCTGGGACGGCGGCTGGGTCCCCGGGCCCCGACCCCCGGCCGCACAGCCCGGTGCTCCCGGCCTTCCCCCAGGCTCCCCACGGGGCTGGAGGACGTGTCCAAGTACCCGAACCTAGTCGCCGAGCTGCTCCGGAGGCAGTGGACGGAGGCGGAGGTCAGGGGCGCCCTGGCCTACAACCTGCTGAGGGTCTTCGAGGCAGTGGAGCAGGTAAGGCTCGTCCGCGCACCCGCCCTCCCCCGCCGGCGGCCGCCGGCAGCCAACCCCATCTGTCCACAGGCTAGCAACCACGCCCAGGACCCCGAGGAGAAGCCCATCGAGCAGAGGGCCCTGGACAGTGCCTGCCGGACGAGCTATGGCTACTCAGGGGCCCCCGGCCTCCGCCTCCAGCCCGCCGCCCTGCTGGCCTCCCTCACCCCCCTCCTCCTCGGCCTGCGTCTCCTGTGAGGACCTTGGGACCAGGCCCCCGGCACGGGGAAGATGGCCGTCGGGGTGGCCGACCCTGGGAGCTGCTCCCACGCTCCAGGACTGGCCTGCCCTGAGCCCTGGGCTCCCCTCGGCTGTGTGCTGTGGGGCGCAGGCCAGGCCCAGAGAATCCTCAATAAAGGCACCGGCCCCCCCGTCCTGAGGTGCCATCCTGAGTGCTCTCCGCCTCCGGCACATCCTGTGGGACGGCCCCTGCTGGACGTCCAGGCCCCCGAGGCCCGAGGCTTGTGGACAGGCCGGGAAGGGCTCGGGACTGACGGGCTTCACGTGGACACTGGAGGCCTTAGACACAGTCCAGGCTGCAGTGCCTCCCCCACCCGCACTTGTACACGCCCACCTGTACACCCACTGCCTCCTAATCATGCCCGCACACACTCATGCACCCATGTGCACACACATGCATATACACTTACATGCACACACACAGGTGCGCGCGCACACGTGTACACATATGCACACCCACACATGCATGTACACGTGTCTACACACGTCCATGTTGGCACCCCTTGGGCTCGGCCTGCTGAGATTGGAGGTGAGGCCAGCAGGCCTCTCTGGGGCCCCTGTAGGGCCTCTTCACAGTGACCATCCTGCTGCCCCGCCCGGCCCGCAGGGCAGAGCACACATGCCTGGGTCGGGAGGGGAACAGCACCTCCTGCTGGACATTCGGTGCCTGTGTCTGGAGATGAACATTATCCTGGATGACAGACCACACGGGGCCCCACCAGGTCAGAGCCCTCTCCAGGCAAGAACATGCCCTCTGGCCAGGGCAGGCTTTGGTGCTGGGCGTGGGGCAGCCCGGCGACAGGAATTCCCTGCTCAGGCACCCTGCCAAGTGTGGCCCGAGGGCCCTGGCAGCCACCTGGGAAGCCGAGCTGCCATCAGCTCCCCAGCCCCTGGGGGGAGGGTGAATCCCCAGGCCTGGGGGGCAGCCAGGCCCTGCCTCACCTCCAGCCAACACCTCCCGACCATCCCCAGTGACCAGAGGGACGTGTGTGGGTATCTGCTCATCACCCCACTACGCCGGGCTGTTTGTGGGGGGCTGTCAGGCGGTGGGAAGGGACCCTGGCGGCTGTGAGGAAGGCTTTAACATTCATCCTGAAATAGTCTCAACCACATTATGTTTACCATTATTTCAAGGTAAAAACTGCAGATTCTGTCTTTGGCCTGAGAATCTGATTCCCTGGGCCCCACCATCTGTCCTCCCATATCCCTCAGCCTCCTGTGTGGGGGCCGACGGCCACACTGAGGGTCCCACCTATACCCCTCCACCCCCCAAGGCCCCTGAAGCAAACCGGAGCGATCCTTCCTCATCAGCGTTTATTTACAGTAGCGTTATAGGCAACGGGCACAGACGCCCCTGCCTCCCACGAGCCACGGCCACCCCCTCGCCCCCGGGGCCCGAAAACCCAACACCTCTGAAGCCCAAAGGACATGGCCAGGGAGTAAGGCGAGGTTGGTATCCAGGAGAAACGCCAGGTCTCACGCACCGCCCCCTCGGCTGCCCCCACACCGCCCGCCGCACAGACACACGGCTCCCGCGTCCGGGAAGGAGCCCGCGCAGGAGTCGAGGTGAAGGTGCAAGGAGACCGGACAGCGGAGCCTCTGGGAGGGCTGGTCGGCGGTCAGCTGAGCAGAGCCGGCCTGGCCGCACCCACAGCGCAGCCTCCACCAGCTCCTACGCAGAGGACGCAGACCCAGTGCTCCCCCTGCTGTTTGCTCCTTGTATTTTGGCAAAAAGAAAAATAAAACGAACCAAACAGCTTCAGGAAAACAAAGTAAACTTGAGGACCATGAAGAACAGGAAGTGAGCCGTCTCCGGGCTGTCCCAGCAGGTCATCGGACACCCTGTGCTCCGCCCTGGACGCCCGGCCACAGCACCGCCCCCCCCCCCAAGGGCGGCTTCCAAGGTCAAGGGTGTGAGCACAGCAGGAGGGGCCGCTGGAGGAGGCACTGCCGGAGATGTGATTGTGGCTGACCCCTCAGCCGGGGGCCTGGCACAGAGGGCTCCAAGGGGTCAGCCCAGTCCCCAGGCCTCCACAGGCAGCAGGGGAGTGAGGACGCCCCCAGAGCGGGCACGCCTGGGTGGGGGGCCAGCTTCCCCAGGAGTTCAGCCAGCAGCAAAGGGCAGGACCGGGCTGGGGGGACAGGACCCCCCTGGACATTCTGCAAAGGCTGCAGGGGATGTGTTTGCGGGGTGGCCCTTGAGGGCATCCTCCACCTGTCCTTGGGGCCGTGCCTGGGCCGTGGGGTGGGGGAGGCCTGCCCACTGCTGGGAGGGCTCCAGGTACCGCCCGACATCGGGGACCCCGACCCCCCTGCTGTTAGTCAGCAGCACGCCTGCCATCACAGGACCCCCTCGCAGAGCGGGGCACAGAGGGAGCCCACAGACCCTCCAGCTACTTGGCCCAAAGTCACAGAAGCCACCCACGAAAGTCAGAAGTTTGTGCAAACTCACCCGCCGCCCAGCCCAGGACGGGGGGTTCCAGGCCCGGCAGCAGGTGCTGAGAGCAGTGAGGGCTGCCGGCGGCTGCAGGGTCAGCTCGAAGGCAGGAGGCAGGGCACGCGGGCCAGAGGCTGCCCCGTGGCTCCTAGTTCCTCAGGGCTGCCAACCTGCAAAGCAAGCAGTGCTGCCAGGAGGGGGGGCTGCCAGGAGGGGGGGCTGCAGGAGGGAGGGATGCCAGGAGGGGGGGCTGCAGGAGGGAGGGATGCCAGGAGGGGGGGCTGTAGGAGGGGGGGGTGCCAGGAAGGGGGCTGCCAGGAGGGAGGGCTGCAGGAGAGAGGGATGCCAGGAGGGGGGGCTGCAGGAGGGGGGGGCTGCCAGGAAGGGGGCTGCCAGGAGGGAGGGCTGCAGGAGAGGGGGGGCTGTAGGAGGGGGGGTGCCAGGAAGGGGGCTGCCAGGAGGGAGGGCTGCAGGAGAGAGGGATGCCAGGAGGGGGGGCGGCAGGAGGGGGGGCTGCCAGGAAGGAGGCTGCCAGGAGGGAGGGCTGCAGGAGGGGGGCTGCCAGGAGGGGGGGCTGCAGGAGGGAGGGCTGCCAGGAGGGGGGCTGCCAGGAGGGAGGGCTGCAGGAGGGGGGCTGCAGGAGGGAGGGCTGCCAGGAAGAAGGGCTGCCAGGAAGGGGGGCTGCCAGAAGGGGGTTGGGCCGCAGTCGCCCACCGGGAGCCAGAGGTCTCAGCCCCCGCCCGCCCTCTCCGCTCTCCTGTCCCCGTCCAGCTCCTCAGGGCGGTTCTGAGCTGACATGGGACCAGCCAGGAACAGCCCTTTCCCGGGAGCTGTGGACGGGAGCAGCACGCTGAGGCAGTTGGGTGTGAAACGGGGCAGGGAGAGCTCAGGCTTACGCAGAAGGGGCTTCACTTAAACTTAGGAGCTTAGGAAGCTGGGCACGAGCCACGCTCCCTTGGTGCCCCATCATGCTGCGGGGTGGGTTGGGGGAGGGGTGAGGTGGGGTGGGGAGGGGTACAGGGAGGGTGGGGTGGGTTGAGTCAGGCATCTCCTCAGAAGGACCAGGACCGCAGCCGAAGCCCAGGTCCCACGCTGCCCTCCAGTGCCCGCCAGCCCAGAGCCTGCCCCCGGCCTCAGGCAGCTCGAGCTGAGCTGAGGGACCACCCACCTGCGCGACAGCTGGTCCTCCTGGCTGCGCACGGAGCTCTCGCCCACAGCGGACGCGCCTTCGGGCAGCTGGCTCAGCTGGTCTAGCACCTCCAGGCCGTTCTCCTCTGCGATCTGCACGATGAGGCTGTCCACCTGCTCCTGCGGCGTGGTCAGCGTGGTGGCCGAGCTCATGGAGTCCTCCATCACCTGGGGACAGGCTCTGGGCGGTCAGGCGGAGCCTGGGAGCCCCCATCGCAGCCTCCCAGGGGCCCCCGCCACCCCACAGTCACCACCTCACTTCCGGCTCGCTCCCCATGCCGCTCCCTCCAGCCCCCGGGTGTCACGCAGGGATTGTCACAGGCCCCACCCCTCCCTGGAGATCGCCAGCCCCTGCCCCAGGCCTCCGTCTCCCACCCTGTGATATCGGGACCGACAAGGGGTCAGGGACCCGGAGGCGGCCCTGCAGGGCTCAGCACAGAGACACCTGCTCAGGCGTGGCAGCCGCACAAGAGACACCTGCCTGGTGCGGGCGACCTACCGAGGTGTGCACATCCAGGTTCTGCACCTGCTGCTCGAACTTGTCCATCACCGCGGACACCTTCTGCAGGTCCATGCTGCTCAGCGCGCGGTCCAGGGCTTTGGTCACCTGCGCCATGTTCTTGGTCACCTGGCCAGGACGGAGGAGGCAACGGGACTGAGGGACACCCCACCAGGGACAGGCTGAGCCCTCCTCCACCCAGGCCGACGAGATCCAGCCCCGCCGAGCAAGCAGCCCTCGCGCACAGCCCTCCTGCAGCCCCAGGAAACGGCGGCGGCGCACGGGAAAGCCCAAGACACCCGGCTCCGGGCTGTGTGCTCTCCCTGGCAGGCACTCTCCTCCACCCCGCAGACCCAGAGGGCTTCCAGCCCCAGCGAGTCCCCTGGACGTGGCCACCAGAGGGAGCACCCGCGGGCATGAGCCCTGGGCCAGACACTCACCCCCTTCATCGTCACGGCCGTCTGCACCTTGGAGGCCACTGCGTCCACGCGGGACGCCATGCGCAGCCAGTTGACACCTTCGTTCTTCTTGCGAATGGCATTCTCCGCGTACACACGGGCACACTCCACGTTCTTCTGCTGCAGGGCCTGAAACGGGCACACCCGCTGCTCAGGGGCCTGCCCGGCCTCCCTGGGGGTGCAGCGGCTGGTGGGCCCTCCACCACCCCACAGGGCTGCGAGCGCCAGGGAACGTGGGCACCCAGGCCCCCAGCCTGCTCAGGGGCTTGGCCTGGCCTCCCTGGGGGTGGCGGCTGGCGGGCCCTCCACCACCCCACAGGGCTGCGAGCTCCAGGGAATGCGGGCGCCCAGACCCCCAGCCCCCTCAGGAGCCAGGGCATCCAAGGAAGGGCTCTGACCAGCCCGCAGCGGGTGAGACGGGAAAACCTTGGAAACATGGACACCTGTGCCCACCCCTCTACTCCCATGACTCACTCGTCTTCTCTTCAGCTCCCTCCCGAGCCTCTCACACCCCCACACACACACCGCCCCCCCCCAAACACACATACACACACACACCCCCACACACACACACACCACCACACACTGTCCCCCTCGCCCACACACACACACCGTCCCCCTTCTCCCCCCCCACACACATACACACACACACTGCCACACACACACACACACATACACACACAACACACCCCACACACACCCACATACACCCACATACACACACCAGGCTGAAAGGAGGAGGCAGGCCTCAGTGGGGAAGGAGGCTCACTGGCCCCTCTCTGCCCTGGGAGCCTGTGGGCAAGATGTCCCCCAATGCAGCACCCCATTCGACCTGTCACAGAGGCCCCAGCAGGGCAGCCAGACCCTCCCTCCACCCTCCCCTCCCTCCTCCCCCACCTTGCCTTCTGTCCCTCCTGGAGAGGCCCCGGAGCCTCCAGCCTGCCCTCACCCCACAGAGGGGCTGCCTCCCCTCTGCCCAGACCCGGGCCCGAGCTTCGCAGGGAAAAGAGGGCTCAGAGTGCAGGGGTCAGGAGTGACCGCCAGAAGCCCACTTCCTCCCTGTTTAGAAAAAAAACAAATTCCGAACAGCGGAAACGAGTAGCAGGCATGGACAGTCAAGAAAAAAGCACAGGCGATGCCTCCTTTCTGCTCTGGACGCCTGGGGGTCGGGGCAGAAAAGGAGCCACTGTGGCCTTAGCTGGCGGTCCCTCCCCTTCCTGCATGGCAGCCACAGCCAGGAAGAGAAGATGCCAGGAGCCCAGCCGCATGAACCAGGAGGTCAGGGTTTGATTCCCGGTTGGGGTACACGCCCGGGTTGCAGGCTCGATCCCTAGTGTGGGGTGCAGGAGGCACAGACTCTCTCACCATGGATGTGTCTCTCTCCCTCTCCCTTCCTCTCTGTAATCAATAAAAGGTTTTTAAAAAGGGAAAGAGGAAGAGACCCCAGGAGCAAGGACAGCGGCCGCCTCACCTTCTTCACCTTGGCCTGCTCCGCCTTCGAGTCCTTCTCCGCCTTCTTGGCCAGCTTCTCCAGCTGCTTCGCTGTGAACTGAGCAGAGCAAGAGCCTGGTCCCGCTGGCAAGGCCCTGCCCCCAGCAAGGTGCCTCCCACGCCCGAGCTTGTGAGCCAAGTGCCGCAGCCGCCCACACCAGCCCTCCTGCCATGGCAAAGCCCGGTGACCAGCGACACCAGCAGCTGGCCCGTCGATGCTCACAACTGACTGGGATGATGTTAACAGAGGGGGAAGGGGGAAGGGTTGGAGGGAACAGCGGCAGAGCTCGCCCCGGATTCACCAGGAGTGCCAACGGCCCCCGAATAGGAGGGACACTCAGGTGCCCTCACCGCCGTCGTCAATGGGATTTTAAAGGATTGAGGTCCCCATGTTAAAAGCCTCGTGGACCATCAAGGGAGGAGCCTCATGCCCAAGTGTGTTTCTTAAAGACAGCACACCTCTTTCACGGCTGAGCCCACGTGACCGCTGCCCTCAGCTCGAGATAAGAATGAACATGCCACCAAGTAACTCCGTAACCCCCTTGTCACCGATTGACAGTCTGTCCCTCTGAGTGCGACTCACACCAATGTCCCCGCTCACTGACCAGCAGGGCGGGCCGGGGCAGACGGCCCCTCGGTACATACCTTCAACTGGAACAGGGTATCTGCAGAGAGAGGAGATGGTGTGAGGATTTTAAGAAATGTGATGAGCAATATTGCCAACAAGCAGACGGGGGCAATGGACCCTCTGGCACGCAGAGCTGGACAAGGCTCGGGGTGGTCGGCGTTGCCGAGGGCTCGGGAAGACAGACCGCAGGGCCTCCTGAACCTCCGGTCCCTCACCGGCAGCACCAGGATGGCACCAGCTGATCTCGCGGGTGAGTGTGCGGGCAGCGTGGCCCACGGTGAAAACTCAAGATGGTGGTTTGTACGTAAAGCGACTTTACAAAGGTCCCAGTGATTCTTTCCCGGTTTAATAAGGCTGAGGACACACATGGGAGAGTCTGTTTGTTTTTATAACACACTCTTTGCCCCGGAAAGTAAACAGCAGAGCCTTCGAACCAGGCCCAGCAGCCTCAGCATCCACCCGGAGGAGCCAAGGAGACCCCTCAGTAACGGAACTTGCTAAGAACGCACGGAAGCTCAAGAGCCAGCAGACTCCGGGGGTTCTCAACCTTCCCAAGGCCACGACCCTTTAACACAGCTCCTCGTGCTGGGGTGACCCCAACCATAAACACTATTTCCATTGGTACTTCATAACTGTCGTTTTGCTAGTTAATGAACCGTAATGTAAACATCTTTGTTTTCTGATGGTCTTAGGCTCTACAGCAGCAGTTCTCAACCTTTCTAATGTCGCGACCCACAGGTTGAGAACCGCTAGCAGAGTCGCCCAAAACCATCGGAAAACACAGATATTGACGTTACGATTGATAACAGTAGCAAAATTACAATTACGAAGTAGCAGCGAAAATAGCTCTATGGTTGGGGGTCACTCCACCATGAGGAACTGCATTAAAGGGTCGTGGCGTCGGGAAGGTTGAGAACCGCTGCTCCGGACGACACTAGCTCAGAATGAAGACATCAGGTCCTACAAGCAGAATGGGGCAGACCTGTGACTGAGAAACCCCAGGGAACCTGGCCCGGGCGCAGTGGGCTTGGAGCAGGAAAGCAGGGTTGGCTGAGGATGGCCTAGCTCTGCCCTCCCCCCCCCCCTCCAGCTATCTCATCCAGACTCTGAAAGGCCAAAACTGTGATGGCAAAACCTCACCCAGAAGAAAGTGCTAGGGCAACACGAAACTCCCCTGACAACTGCCTGGAGGATGGAGTCAACACCAAGGTGTGTGCTGGGGGAGGGGGGGGGAGGGAGGGAGTTCCTCTGAGGCCATTTGTACCCAATTTCCTTCACACAAAGACGCCCGGTGGCTGGTTCTCACGGGTCACAAAGCGGGGCCAGCCCTGAGCGTCCACAGAGGGGGCAGCCCCTCCGCCGGGGTGTCCTCGGGCGGCGCAGGGGGTGGCGCCGGGGGTGGCGCAGGCGCCCCGCACAGTTTCCACCGGCTGGAGGGCAGGGCCCGCCCCGGGGGTGGGAGGGCCGGGCTGCGGCCTGAGCTTTCCCCTCTCTCTGCGCGGGGCTCGGGCGGTCCTGCCACCGGTTCCTTCTCCGGGGCCCTCCGACCTGAGGTCCCAGGGCCCCAAATGCCAGGTCCCCGCCGGCACCGGAGTCGGGGGCGGGGCAGCCAGACGCCGAGGCGGGCGGGGGGGGGGAGGGGGGGAGATCGAAGCGCGGGGACAGGGGAACGACGGCATGGGGGGGAGGTCGGGGCGCCGAGCTTCGGGGGGCCGGGTCTGGGCGCCCGCCTGAGGCCCCACCCCCGCGCCCCGAAGGGCGGCGGCCTCTTACCGTCCATGGCCAGGCCGGCGCGGAGCCCTCGCAGAGGCCCTGACACGGAATCTCCAGGGGCTTCGGACGGCGGGTGGGAACTTCCGGGTTGTCCCTCACTTCCGGTGGCCGGCCCCTCTCGCGAGAGGACGGCGGCCCGGCCCGCGAGCAGGGGCGTTGCCGTGGCGACCGCGTTGCCGTGGCGACCGCGCCGCCGCCGGGCCGCGGCTTTTGTGAGTCAGCGGCGCGGCGCCCGCCGAGGAGCCGGCGCCCGGGTGCCCGGCCGGCCGAGCCGGGGGCGGCGGGCTCGCCTGGGAGGCTCGGCGGGAGCGAACACAAGCCCGGGAAAGGTAAAGGGCGCCGGCCGCCGTCTCCCTGCAGCGGGCCGCACCGGCGGGAGCTGGGGGTGCCGGCGCCCCGCGCCCCCACGCCCGAGTCCCGATGGCCTTGCATCGGGGAACCTTTTCCTCCGTGCAGATATCCGGTGTAGGGAAATGGAGTGACCCGAGTCTTTCTTTCTTTTTTAAAAAAAATATATTTTATTGATTTTTTACCGAGAGGAAGGGAGAGGGACAGAGAGTCAGAAACACTGATGAGAGAGAAACATCGACCAGCTGCCTCCTGCACACCCCCCACTGGGGATGTGCCCTTGACCGGAACTGAACCCAGGACCCTTCAGTCTGCAGGCCGACGCTCTATCCTCTGAGCCACACCGGTTTCGGCATGACCCAAATCTTTCACGCTGCCTATTTCACTCTGAACCAAAGGCAACCCGTTGAATGCACCTGTTGCCCGAGGTTCAGTACATCATGTCACTTTAAGTATCCATATATTCCAGGTGGATGGAGCAGATGGGGTGCCTCTTTTCAGGCCCAAAGCCTAAGAAAGGGTCGATGGACAGCCTTTCCTGTAATTCTGCAGAGGGCTCGCCTCGGAAGGACGGGGCGGCCAAGCAGCCGTCACCTGGAGTCAAAGGTAGGACCCGCCCGAAAGGGGACGGAGCCCGAGGCTGCAGCTTCCAGGAGCGTGGGGAAGGGTGAACGGGGATCCTGACAGCAGGGTGGAGGGTTAGGGTCTTGACGGAAGAGGGAACTCGGTCAGTAAAGGTTGGGGGAAGTTGCCGAGTGATACGTGCATCACGGTCAGGAGGGGCTCAGCCCCCAGACGCGGCGCTCACTGCTCCGTCCCAGCAGGTGGATGCCCTGGAGACTGGACCCGAATCTTGGAAAGCTGCCCCAGGCTGGAGCACAGTCGCCTATAACAGCGGTCGGCAAACTCATTAGTCAGCAGAGCCAAATACCAACAGCACAACGATTGAAATTTCTTCTGAGAGCCGAAAACCGACTTCTGCGCACGGGCCACGAAGTTTCAGTCGCACTGAACGTGCGCGCCCGCACGTGGTATTTTGTGGAAGAGCCGCACTGTAGGGGCCAAAGAGCCGCGTGTGGCTCTGGAGCCGCAGTTTGCAGGGAGCAAGGGGAGACAGTCTGCCCGGAAGAACATCGATCGAGGAAGCGCATCTGCTTTTCACCTGAGAACCGGGGACCTTTCGGAAGCCGGAGCCCCTTTAATACGCCTGATACCGTAACAGAATGGGAGTCCCAGGCCGAGGATTCTGTGGTCGTCCTGTTGGAAGTGGGCTCGACTACGATGGGGTAGAAACCAAAGGGCCTGCTGGGCTGGGCTGGGCTGGGCTGGGGTGCGGGCAGACGGGGGCGGGCCTGCGGGAGCTCTGGAGCAATGGTACCTTCTGCATCGTGTCTGCGTGGTTACCCTGGCATGTGCCATTGTGAAAGCTCACCCAGCCGAGCAGTTAAGAACTCTGTGTTTTATTGTGTGTGGATCACAGCTCAGAAAACCATGGACCATAGGCGAGTCCTGGTCTCTGGGAGCTGCACCCAAAAGTCTAACCGGATGTGACGGGTGGGCAAAGTGAAGGTACACGAGTGGCTGCTGGTGCTTCCGCAACACAAGCCCAAGTCGCCCACCAAGCTGTGTCCGGATGCTCCTCCCACCTGGATGTGGTCTTGTCCCTCTCCCTAAATCACTCCTGTGACCATCCGAATGTGGCAGAGGGGACTTCTGAGGCCGGGCCAGGACAGGCTCATTGGAACGCTCGCTGGGGCCTGGGGCCTGGGGCCTGGAGCCTGGAGCCAGAGCTGCCCCCTGGTGGAGTGCTGCCGTCAGCTGCCCCATCGCTGAGCCTTCCAGCCAGAGGCCACGAGTCAAGCAGAAGCCAGTGTCCACAGACCTGTGAGTGGCCACCTTGAATGTCCTGCAAGGAGAAGAATCAAGCCATGTGCAATTTTTAATCAACACATATTGCTTTAAGTCAAATATTCATAACCTTTAAGAAGTTTTAATAGATAAAACACATGTATGAAACAGTGTGAAAAAATAAGTTCCCCAAATGAAATTAAATGGAGAAAGGATGACATGGCAGTGCCCAGAGCAATGGTTAAAATCTGGGCAATGGCCAGGACCGGTTTGGCTCAATGGATAGAGCATCGGCTTGGGGACTGAAAGGTCCCGGATTCGATTCCAGTCAAGGGCATGTACCCTGGTTGCGTGCATATCCCCAGTAGGGGGTGTGCAAGAGGCAGCTGATCGATGACTCTCTCTCATCGACGTTTCTAACTCTCTATCTCTCTCCCTTCCTCTCTGTATAAAACCAATAAAATATATTAAAAAAAAAATCTGGGCAATGGTTAAAATCACCCAGGATTCAAGTTCAAGGGGGCTCTGGACCTGAGACCAGGCTCCAGCATCTCCCTCTGACACAGTTCCTTCATCTGCCAAACGTGGTACCTACTTCAGAAGCCTGTCGTGGGTCATTATTCACTGTCGTTACTCCAGGGCTCAGCACGGGCGACTGGTTCCTGTGCAGCCAGGCCCACGAGGTGTTACGTGGGAACACAGGAGACTGCCAAGCCGTCTGGTGCAGCACGTGACCCTGGGCGTGCTGTTCCCGCACACACGTGTGCACAGAGACCCCTGTGGTGCTTTACCAGAGGTGCCAAGGGATGTGCCTCGAACTGTACCCCCAGAGGCTGCAGGCAGGCAGGGCCTTCTGCTTTTTGTAACATTTGACAAAATCAGCATTTCACAAGTCTTATGTATTCCTTGTAAACTGAGCAAGTTTAAGAAAAGGTGGCCAACATCAGAAGTGTCCGTTGGTGCAGCGTTCTGACGGACAAAGTTCTGTACAGAGAGCTGCTGCCAGCTTTAGAATCCCGTGGAAATGCTGCACCTGAATCTTCACCTCTGCAGCCCGCCTGCCTTGTGGAGGCTGTCTGCCTCCTGGGCCTTTGGCAGCTCGGTCTCCGGGTGGATGGATGGCAGAAGTCTCCGCTAGTCCTAGAAGGGATCTGGGTTAAGCTTTTGAACGTTCACGCACAGCTCTGACTGCTTCCAACCTCGCCTGTTTCTTTGGCCTGTGCTGTGGCCGTCACACGGACGTGGTCTGCTTCGCTGCAGACTTACTCAACACCCGGGTGTTTCCTTCCTCCTAGGGAAAGCTAAGGCAAGCAGGACCAGCACCAACATCCCAAAGATCGTGGTCACTTCAGCCTCAAATGAGATTCTCAGCAGAAGCCCAGAGCAGAGGACCATTCGCGAGGAGGTAGTATTCGGCCCCTATGCCCGACACAGGAATCCCAGCACAATAGACGCCTATGCTTTAATCTCTGCCGAATAAACCACCCCTTGAGTCGCTGTCCTAATTCACTGTGCCTTGAGTGCCAGCCGTGGTGCCAGGAGCGCCGCCGCCCTGCCTGTGGGAAGCTGCAGGTGCCCATTCCCCCTTCAAGGTGAGAGTCCCCCTTTCCCCCGCCCGGTGACTGTCATGGTCTCACCTTCCCCAGAGCTGCTGGCAGCTTGGCCCAGGGCAAGAGGGCCTGAAACTAGTTTTACTAAATCACCCCCCACCACCTCCACCCCGTTGGAACTGGCTGGCTGTGCAGTGATAGACAGACAGCAGGGGGCACCTCTCCCTTCTGTTCAGCTCCGTCCCGCCGAAGGGTGGTGAATGAGACATTGATGCACAGAAAGAGGGTGGGGCTCTGAGCACTCAGTTTGAAGGTGTGAAGTTCCATGGAGGGCTGGAGGGCTCCTAGCCTGGCTGCTCCGTGACCCAGGGTATTAAGAATCCAAAAGGCGGAGACCGGTGTGGCTCGGTGGATAGAGCGTCAACCTGCAGACTGAAGGGTTCTAGGTTCGATTCTGGACCAGGGAACATACCGAGGTTGTGGGCTTGGTTCCCAGTGGGGGGCCTGCAGACGGCAGCCAACCCATGATTCTCTCTCACTATTGATGCTTCTATCTCTCTAGCCCTCTCCCTTCCTCTCTGGAATCAATAAAAATAATTTTTTAAAAATTGCCGAAACCGGTTTGGCTCAGTGGATAGTGTGTCAGCCTGCGGACTGAAGGGTCCCGGGTTCGATTCCGGTCAAGGGCATGTACCTTGGTTGCGGGAACATTCCCAGTAGGGGGTGTGCAGGAGGCAGCTGATCGATGACTCACTCATCGATGTTTCTATCCCTCTCTCTTCTTCTTATTTAAAAAAACAAAGGACTAGCTTTTTTTAAAAAAATTATTTTCACGCATTAACTTAGTACACAATATTCTTGGCTTACCTTAACGTTAATTTAGCGCCGGCAGCGCGGTCCTAGCACAGGGGCCTCCCGCAGGGCCGGTCCCTGGCGCGCACGGCTCTCCTGCCGCCCATTCCAGGCCCCGCCCGCCCGCCCCAGCTGCGCAGTGAACCCGCCGGACAGGGCCGAGCACACCGCCAGGTGCCCGGGTCTCACCCCCTCACCCCCCCGTGCGGTGCCGTCCGTCCCCGCGGGCCCTGCCCGCACTCCCTCCGGGCGCCTCCGCGCTCCAAAGCCCGGGCCCCGGTGCCCCTCGCGGACTCGGCGACCAGCCCCGCCAGAAGCCGGGTTTAAACCGAAGCCGCCTGAGCCTCCAGGGCCTGAACGCATCCCGGGAGCTCGGGTCCACGGCGGCCTCCGGTTCCCTTGGTAACCGTCGCCAGGGGGAACGCCCCGGAAGTGGGGCGCGCCACAGCCGAGGGAGCCGTGTGCGCCTGCGCCCCGGGGAGCGGGCGCAGCGCTCGGCATGGCGGAGCCGGAGCCGGAGTCGGAGCAGATCCGCCTGAAGTGCGTCCGTAAGGAAGGCTTCTTCACGGTGCCTCCAGAACACAGGGTGCGCTCGGGGGTCGCTCGGGGGGGGAGCCGCGCCGCTGCGGACGGGCGGGGCCGACGAGGTCCGGGCCCTCAGTGTCGTGCTGAAGCGCCGCGGTTTCCGGCACGGGCGGGAACGGCAGTCCCAGAGTTCCTCGCGGCAGGCGCGGAAGCCGGCGGCCAGCTCCGGGCTTCTAGGGGCGGCCCGGGTTCCGGGCGTCTTCTCGAGTCTCTTTTTTTTTTTTTTTTTTTTTTTTATAGAGTTTTGCGCCCAGAACGGGCTCGGCAAACTGACCCAGAAGCACCGTGTGTCGGAGGAGGGTTTGCCTGAACGGGTCGGGCCAGGTTCGGCCTTGCTTTATGTCCCATGGCCGCAGGCACCATGGCCGTCCCTTTTGCAGAGAAGGAGGGTGACGGTTCGGGGCGTTGAACGATTTTCCCACCATCGGCTCCTGCAGGGCCGGCCGGAGCCCTGGCGGCTGGATTGTGGTTGAGCTACTTGATGGTGCTCTGGTGAGGCTCGTCCACAGCCCGTGGCGGAGCGAGCCCCGGAGCCGCCCCGAGCCACCCACTCCCAGATCAGCCGAAACCGGTTTGGCTCTGGATAGAGCATCTGCCTGCGGACTCCAGGGTCCCAGGTTCGATTCCGGTCAAGGGCATGTACCTTGGTTGCGGGCACATCCCCCAGTAGGGGATGTGCAGGAGGCAGCTGATGGATGATTCTCTCTCATCGATGTTTCTAACTCTCTATCCCTCTTCCTCTGTGTTAAAAATCAATAAAATAAAATATAAAAAAAAATTTATATATATATATATATATATTTTTTTTTTTTTTTAAAGACACTCCCAGATCAGGACATATAGCCAGTGCACAGTAGGAGGTGGTTCAAGACAACCACCATCATGTCAGAGAAGAATTCACGGGGGGGTGGGCGGGCGGGCCGCAGGAGGAACTTGTGGAAGGACTGGCATTTCCGCGGGCTGGAAAGTGCTACTGTGTCTGGGGCATGCAGACATGAGGAGGCAGACTTAAGAAGTGGCGGGAGCCCAGTCAGGGAGGAGAGAATGAGAAGGGGGATTCGGTGGGAAGGGAAGGAGGTGGAGGTGAGATCACGGAGAGCTCCCTCAGTCCGGGCCGCCTGGCTCCCGGGTGTTAGCAAGCAGTGCGATGGAGGGCAAGGTTTGGCCAGAGAATCGAGGCAGGGGCCAGACAGGAGCTGTTAGAATCCAGCTCTAACTTGCAGCCTGTGCTGCTCAGCCTGCCTGTGTGCATGTACCCCGTTATGAAGGCGTGTTGGGGTACAAGCTCTCTGCCAGGACAGAGAGACCCCAGGATATAATGGCTTAAGTACGAGGCTTTTTTTCTCCCTCCCCTAACCCTCCTGAGAGAGGCAGCTTTTTCCACAAGGTGGGCCAAGCACTCAGTTTGTCTCTTGTTGGCCAGAACGTAGTCGTGTGGTCATACCCAGCTGCAAGGGGGGCTGGGAAAACAGACCCCATGGTGGCCGTGTGCCGTGGGGCTGCGTTTTGTAGCTCAGAGGAAGCAGTGACGCCTGCGTGTAGGGGCAGGAGCCTCGGCCCCGGAAACATTCCCGCCCAGGCCGGTATTTCTGAAGCTTCCACCACCTGCAGAGGGTCCCTGAGACCAGTGCTGCTCGGAGACTTTCTGTGGTGACGGAACTGTTTTCTGAATCGTCCAGTGTGGTCGCCACGAGCCACTTGAGGCCACTGAGCACTTCCCGTGTGGCTGGTGCAGCTGAGGAAGTGAACTGTTCGCTTCAACCACAGCTGGCCGGCGGTTACCTTGTCAGACAGGCACCCTGGGCCATGGGGTTGGGAGGGCGTGGCTGCCTGCCCAGTATCATCCCCCCCTTTTCTCCCCTGACCAGCCCAGGGCTGTGGCTGCCTGTCCGGTGAGTGAGACATGAAAGCGTGGGATGACCATCTCCGGTTGTCCCATTGGCGGCCAGTCCCGGCGTGACCAGCGCCCTCTCTTCCAGCTGGGCCGGTGCCGGAGCGTGAAGGAGTTTGAGAAGCTGAACCGCATCGGGGAGGGCACCTACGGCATTGTGTGTGAGTGGCCGAGGGGGGCGGCCGGGGCCCGGGGCAGCCCCACGGGAGCCGTGTTAGGCCGGGAGGAGCCAGGAGGAACGCCTGTACGCGGGATTGCCCATCTGGCTAGCCGTCAGGCTGCCGCGGTGGAACCAGGGCTGGCCCCAGCTGTTTCCGTAGTAAAGGGCAACGCTCCCCGAGAGCGTGCAGCGGCTGGACGCTGGTGTGCGCCCACGGCTAAGCCTCTCGTCCCAGTGCTGTGCGGAGACATCCTTTCCGTAGATAAAGACCTGATTTGGTGTGAGAACAGGGTGACCGCAGAGCACCAGGCAGTGACCTGCGGCCCACTCAGGGGAACTCGGAGGTGGGGGGGGCTCTAACGAGGCGCCTGTGCCCGGTGCCCAGAGCACGGTCCAGTGTGGCTGCGGGGGCGGGGTTGCAGCCGGGCACCCGGACCTCAGGCAGAGGCCGTGTGCACAGGGCGTGCGCCCGGGGAGGGGCTGCGTCCCACATGGACGACTTTCCTCCCCAGATCGGGCCCGGGACACCCAGACGGATGAGATCGTGGCCCTGAAGAAAGTGCGGATGGACAAGGAGAAGGATGGTGAGCTGGGCTTCCAGCCCGGAGTGGGCGGGCTCCCTTAGGACTGGACCCGGGACCGGGTGCCTGGACAGCCCCTGCGTGGTGGGGGAGGGGGCTGGTCTGTGAGGCCTCCAGCTCACCACCCCACCCTGTCGTCGTCTCCTCCTCCTCCTCCTCCTCCTCCTCCTCCTCCTCCTCCTCCTCCTCCTCCTCCTCCGTCTCCCTCATCGTCTCTCTCAGCTCTCGCCCCTCACCGGGCCTTCCCCTCCCAGGCCCCAGGCAGGCGGCCTGCGCCCTCCCTCACCTCCTGGCTACGGCGGGCAGGGCTCTGCCATGCTCAGAGGGCCGGTCACACACGGGTCTGTGTAGGGAGCTGCTGCTTTGCCTCTGACGCGGAAGGAGGGGCTCAGGCTGCCTGTTGGGACACCTCCGTTCTCCTGAGCGGGCACCAGAGCCCTGACTGGGGGCGGGGCCCACGGAGGCGGCAGGGTGCAGGGCCGGCCTGCGGGCGGGCGCCTGAGCCTGTCGGGTTGCAGGGGTCCCCATCAGCAGCCTCCGCGAGATCACGCTGCTCCTCCGCCTCCGCCACCCAAACATTGTGGAGCTGAAGGAGGTGGTGGTGGGCAACCACCTGGAGAGGTGAGCCTTCGGCCGCCACGCCGGCCCCGCCCAGCCCTCTGCAGCCCCCCCCCCCCCCCCCCCCCGGAGGCTGAGGTGGCCCCATGCTCCCCTTGCTGCTTCCAGCATCTTCCTGGTGATGGGTTACTGTGAGCAGGACCTGGCCAGCCTCCTGGAGAACATGCCGACGCCCTTCTCGGAGGCCCAGGTGCGAGGGAGGGCCCCAGGGCTCTGCGGGGCCCGGTCCAGCACGGCGGTGCCAGCAGCGCCCCCCTGACGTCCTGCCCTCTGCGCAGGTCAAGTGCATCGTGCTGCAGGTGCTGCGGGGTCTCCAGTACCTGCACCAGAACCTCATCATCCACAGGTGGGGCTCCGGAGGGCCAGAGGGCTCAGTCTCAGGGGCTGGGTCTGGATGGGGGCAGGGCCTCGGGCTGGGATGGCATCCACCTGGAGGAGGGTGGGGTCTTGGGCATTGGTGCTGGTACTGACCCTGTTCTGACCCGGCTTCCAGTGCGAGGGGCCCAGGGTCAGGAGGCGGGAGCAGACCCAGGCCCAGGGCAGGGGAAGTTGTCCTGATCTGGGGAAGCATCCGGGACAAACACCGCCTCCTGCTGCTCCGATGGGGACGTGCAGTCAGGCTGTGAGGAGCCCGCAGTGGAGAGCGGCCTGGGGTCAGTGACACAGGCCAGGAAGGCCATCTGAGCCCAGAGCAGGACAGCGGCTCCCTGTGCCCTGGGGCAGTGGGGGCTGCCCAGGTGGGCAGCTAGACTAGAAGCTGGATGCGGGCCCAAGGCCTGGCTCTGCCGCTTCTCGGAGTCCTGAGAGCTCGGGTCCAGCTGCCTATGCTGCCCGCCCTTCTGTTTCCGTAAGTCCACACAGGAGACGTGGGAAAGCGTCTGCCTGTTACCATGGTGACAACAGGAAGCCGGTGGCGCTCACTTCCCGGGACCCTGACCTTCCCTTTCTGTCACAGGGACCTGAAGGTTTCCAACCTGCTCATGACCGATAAGGGCTGCGTGAAGACAGGTGGGTGCTGGCTCTGAGGTGGGTGTCTGTGCCTGCCCCTTGCTGATGGGGGGGGAGGGCGAGGCACAGATCTATCCTATAGGCTCCCTGAGGGCTAAGGGCTGGCCCCCCTGGGTGACCCGCCTCCTTCCCTCCGTCAGCGGATTTCGGCCTGGCCCGGGCCTATGGCATCCCCGTGAGACCAATGACGCCCAAGGTGGTCACCCTGTGGTGAGTCCCGGGCGGGGCGGGGTGCCTGGTGGGGGGAGTGGCGTGTCCGGCCGGCCTTGGAGCTGCGCACACTCGGAGGCTGGGTCTGGGCAGCTCCCGGCACAGGACCCCGCGTGGCTCTGAGCTGTGCTGGGCGAGGAGGTTGCCTCTCTGCCTGAGGTCGGGTGGTCCACGTGGCTGGCTGACCGCTCACCGCGTTTCTGGAGGCAGCTCAGGGGTGCGGTTAGAGGGGAGACAGCCGGACGCCCCTGCCATGTGTTACTCGGCTCGTCCGGACCCGGTGTGGTCGGGGTGCAGCGGGCTGGGCAGCGGGAGCGGCTGTTACCGGGGCAGCTCGCATGGCAGAGCGTCCCAGGAAGGCGGGCGGGGGGTGGCGGGCTGGGGGGGGCGGGCTGGGGGGGGCGGGCTGGGGGGTGGCGGGCTGGGGGGTGGCGGGCTGGGGGGTGGCGGGCTGGGGGGTGGCGGGCTGGGGGGTGGCGGGCTGGGGGGTGGCGGGCGGGCTGGGGGTGGCGGGCTGGGGGTGGCGGGCTGGGGGTGGCGGGCTGGGGGGTGGCGGGCGGGCTGGGGGGTGGCGGGCGGGCTGGGGGGTGGCGGGCTGGGGGGTGGAGGGCTGGGGGGTGGCGGGCTGGGGGGTGGCGGGCTGGGGGGTGGCGGGCTGGGGGGTGGCGGGCTGGGGGGTGGCGGGCGGGCTGGGGGGTGGCGGGCTGGGGGGTGGCGGGCGGGCTGGGGGGTGGCGGGCTGGGGGGTGGCGGGCTGGGGGGTGGAGGGCTGGGGGGGGCGGGCTGGGGGGTGGCGGGCGGGCTGGGGGGTGGCGGGCTGGGGGGGGCGGGCTGGGGGGTGGCGGGCTGGGGGGTGGCGGGCTGGGGGGTGGCGGGCTGGGGGGTGGCGGGCTGGGGGGTGGAGGGCTGGGGGGGGCGGGCTGGGGGGTGGCGGGCGGGCTGGGGGGTGGCGGGCTGGGGGGGGCGGGCTGGGGGGTGGCGGGCGGGCTGGGGGGTGGCGGGCGGGCTGGGGGGTGGCGGGCGGGCTGGGGGGTGGCGGGCTGGGGGGTGGCGGGCTGGGGGGTGGCGGGCTGGGGGGTGGCGGGCGGGCTGGGGGGTGGCGGGCTGGGGGGTGGCGGGCTGGGGGGTGGAGGGCTGGGGGGTGGCGGGCGGGCTGGGGGGTGGCGGGCTGGGGGGTGGCGGGCTGGGGGGTGGAGGGCTGGGGGGTGGCGGGCGGGCTGGGGGTGGCGGCAGTGCTGCGCCGGGACCTCTCGGCTCCGGACAGACGGTGGCCGGTGGGTGGGCTGCAGCTCGCGGTCCCTGTGGGGCCCGGGAGCGCCGGCGTGAGGTGGCGCGTCTGTTTGCAGGTACCGAGCCCCGGAGCTGCTGCTGGGCACCACCACGCAGACCACCAGCATCGACATGTGGTGAGGGCGCAGGTCGTGGGGCGGTCTGGGGCCGATGGGAGGGGCCCTCGCCTGGGACCCCGGAGGGCAGCATGGGAACAGCACTCCCGACCAGCACTGCGTCCGCAGGAGGCCCCGCCCTGCAGGCAGGCAGGCAGCGGCCTGTGGCCCGTCTGGCCCCTCCGTGTGGCCTCGAGCTCAGGCCTGTCCACGGGCCGGCCGGGCGGTGCTGACGGGTGTGTGAGGGAGCCACCTCTCCGCCCTGCAGGGCCATGGGCTGCGTCCTGGCCGAGCTGCTGGCCCACAAGCCCCTGCTCCCGGGCACGTCGGAGATCCACCAGGTGGACCTGATCGTCCAGCTGCTGGGAACCCCCAGTGAGAACATCTGGCCGGTGAGCACCAGCCTCCGCCTCCCCTCCTTGCCCCCTCCTGCCCGCTGGGCGGCCCTGCTCCCCTCCCCGCTCCCTCCCCCACCCCTGCCCGCTGGGCGGCCCTGCTCCCCTCCCCGCTCCCTCCCCCACCCCTGCCCGCTGGGCGGCCCTGCTCCCCTCCCCGCTCCCTCCCCCACCCCTGCCCGCTGGGCGGCCCTGCAGCTGCCCTCCATCCGCAGGGCTTCTCGCGGCTGCCGCTGGTCAGCCAGTACAGCCTGCGGAAGCAGCCCTACAACAACCTCAAGCACCGCTTCCCGTGGCTGTCCGAGGCCGGCCTGCGCCTGCTGAACCTGCTCTTCATGTACGACCCCACCAAGAGGTACTGACCCGGGCCAGCTCTGTGGTCTGTCCACTCCGATCACGGGCCACTGCAAGGCTCCCACCGCCCCGGGCCCAGCCCCCCGCCCCCACCTGTCCCACCGCTCCGGGGCCAACCCCCCCCCCACCTATTCCATCGCTCCGGGCCCAGCCCCCCGCCCCCACCTGTCCCACCGCTCCGGGGCCAACCCCCCCCTCCCCACCTATTCCATCACTCCGGGCCTAGCCCCTCCCACCTGTCCCACCGCCCCGGGCCCAGCCCCCTCCCACCCACCTGTCCCACCACCCCAGGCCCAGCCCCTCCCACCCACCTACCTGTCCCATTGCTCTGGGCCCAGCCCCCCACCACCACCTGTCCCACCACCCCAGGCCCAGCCCCTCCCACCCACCCACCTGTCCCGCCGCTCTGGGCCCAACCTCCCCATCACTCCGGGCCCAGCCCCCCCCCCACCTGTCCCATCCCTCCGGGCCCAGCCTCCCCCCCACCTGTCCCATCGCTCCGGGCCCAGCCCCCCCCCACCTGTCCCATCGCTCCGGGCCCAGCCCCTCCCCCCGACCTGTCCGTTGTTGGGGGATGGGAACCAGGGTCTCCAGGTCGGGCAGCTGGGAGGACCCGCCTGGGCACGGTGTGCTCACATGACTGCCCCCAGGGCGACGGCCGGGGACTGCCTGGAGAGCTCCTACTTCAAGGAGAAGCCCCTGCGTGAGTCCCGGCCCAGCCCCGTCTGCAGCGGCCCGGCCCCGTCTGCAGCGCTGGCTGGCAGCCTTTTTCTCGGGGGCGGAGGGGGGAGGGATGCTAAGACGCCTCAGAGCTCCTCAGGCCCCGGCCCGTGGCGTGGGGGTGGGGCACTCCCAGCCCAGACCCATCCAGTGGCGTGCTGGCCCTGCAGGGGCAGCCGCTGGCCATTGGCCATGCTGTCTGCAGGTCACGGGCGCAGAGGGAGGTGCGGGGGCTCAGGGACCGGAGGTGCATGCTGAGTGCCCCAGTGCTGACTCCCCCTCCCCACAGCCTGTGAGCCGGAGCTCATGCCCACCTTCCCTCACCACCGCAACAAGCGGGCGGCTCCCGCCGTGTCCGAGAGCCAGAGCAAGCGCTGCAGGCCCTGACCGCGGAGCCCCTGACCACCGGAGGCTCCCAAGGCCCTGCTGGACCCTCGGCCAGGACTCGCCAGCTATTCAGCTGACCGCCGATTCCTGCCTCCTCACCCTCCACTGCCCCAGAGCAGCGGGGTGTGCACTGGGGTGTGGGTGGTGGGTGTGCCATGAACCACGTGGGTGTGGGACCCGAGCCGGACCCCACTGAGCTGTCGTGTCCCCACCTGGGCCCTGCGAGGTGCTGCCCGCCACACCCGGGCTCCCAGCAGCTCAGGAACCACCCACGGGCCCATCCTGGGGGTGCTGCTGGCCAGGGACGTGCCGTCCTGTCATGGTCCTTGGGCCGCGCTGTGGAGGGGCTGGACCTGGGTCTGGGCCGTGCCCACGGGAGAGCAGAGCCAGTGCTTCCGGGGGCGGAGCCCGGGAGGTACGGTTGGTGCTACAGGAACAAACGAGATAAAAGCTTCCTGACAGACGCGGGTGGTTCTGTGCTTTAATGTGGGAGGCTCCGTCCTGTGACAGTGCTGGGAAGGGGTGGGGAGGATGGGGCCGCGCAGGGGGCGGCACGAGGGCTTTGGCAGGCTCAGCGCTCGCTGGTGGCCTGGTGGGCTTCATAGGAAGCCTGGGGCTGCGCCCAGAGTGACTGAGCCGGTCCAGGCTCCATCAGCCCCTGCCTGCTCTCGAGCTGGGCACCCTCCAGGTGAGATCACATCGTCTCCATCCATGGCCCAGCTGTGACCAGGCATGTGTCCAGCCAGTGTGGCCTGTGACCCCACAGTGAGGGTCTGGGCCTCCACAGCCCGGTCAGCCATGCACCTGGCAGAGCCCGCCGGACGCCTGGAGGCAGCATGTCCCAAATCAAAACCACAGGGAGCAGCAGAGGCTCCTGGCTGACCATGGGGCCCCGCGGTGGGGAGGGGAGGTCCTTCCTGGGGACGGACAGGCCTGGGTGCCTTGTCACAGTCACGTGGGCTAGACCTTTCCCCGCAGCACGTTCGGGGTGGGTCTGCGGTGGGGGTGGGTCTGGGTGAGAGGAACTTTCCATGGGAGGCGGACGCTGAGCCCGGACTTCCCTCCGGGGCGGCAGGGGACCAGGGCCAGAGAAGCACCTCGGAAACACAGGAGCCCTTGACCAGGGCCTGGCTGGGCTAGGGCCGGGCCCCGGGGCTGCTGTAGAGGAGGGTGTCCATCTCGGCGCGCTGCAGCCACAGGCGCTGGTGGGCGTCGCCGAGCAGGGCACGCAGCTCGTGGCCCAGGCGGCAGGCGGGCAGGGCGGCGCAGTGGGCGGTGTGCAGCTGGCGGCAGGTGTCACAGCAGCGGGCGGGCAGGGCCCCCGGGGCCAGGCAGCTGTGCACCTGGTAGCCAGGGGGCTCGCCGACAGGCCCAGGCCCGTGCTGGGGGCCGGGGCTCCCGGGGGCTTTGGGAGCAGCCAGGTCCCCGGGCCGGCTCAGCTCCCGGCGCAGGGAGAGGAAGGAGAAGGCCTCGGGCTCCGGCTCCTCCTCCTCCAGCACTCCGTAGGGTGGGCTGCGGGGCGGGCTGCTGACTTCCTGCAGGGCCTCGGCCTCCTCCATGGGCTCCCAGGCCTTGCCCCGAGGGCCCCACAGTTTGGCACTCTGCTCCCACGGCAGCGGCCGGTAGGCCGGCTCCGAGGAGGGGGAGCCCGGGCCCGGAGAGGGCCCTCCGTACAGGCTGGCCTCCTCGGAGTCCGAGTCCGAGTCCTCCTGCAGGTCCCGGTACAGGTCCAGCGGGGCCCGGAACCCGGCGGGGGAGGCCCGGGGCGGCAGGGGCGGCGGCTCCTCCTCCCGGGCCAGCCGCTGCTGCAGGCACGCCACGCAGGAGGCCACGTCCCCGCTGGCCCGCCGCGCCTGCAGCAGCTCCTCGGCCGGCAGCACGCTGGTGCCCAGCTGCGCCAGCACCTCGCCCAGGATCTCGCACTCCAGCCGCAGGGCGAAGCAGCCCAGGGCCACCTGCACCAGCTGGCCGGCGGGGGGCGGGGCGGCCACCTGGAGGCAGTGGTTGTCCCTGGGCACGTAGCCCATCTTCTGGAAGCTCTGGATGAGGAGGTCCTCAGACAGTGCGCCCTTCAGCACGTGCACGTAGCCCCCTGAGAAGGTCTGCAAGGCAGGGCCCGGTTAGCAGCAGCCCACCACACCCTCACTCCGGTGGCAGCCTGGTGCCAGCGACACCCCCCCTCACCACGGCTTAAGAAACTCGTATGGCCGAAACCGGTTTGGCTCAGTGGATAGAGCGTCGGCCTGCGGACTGGAAGGTCCCAGGTTCAATTCCAGTCAAGGGGCATGTACATTGGTTGTGGGCACATCCCCAGTAGGGGGCGCTCAGGAGGCAGCTGGTGGATGATTCTGTCTCATTAATGTTTCTAGCTCTCTATCCCTCCCTGTAAAAATCAATAAAGTATATATTTTTAAAAAAACAACACACGTATGTTCTCCGGGCTCTGTAGTCAGAACACAACAAAGACCCCACACACACCCACACGGACCCCCCACTGCCTCAGGGTTCCAGGTGGGTGAGGCTCTCGGCCGGCAGAGTTGTGTGCACAACAGGAAAACCTGTTGGGATGGCGACTGCCTCCTGCGGCTCAAAAACCCACAACCCGGGGACCCTGAGCCTTCCCCGGCTCACAGCCTGGGCCAGTGCCTCCCTGCCAGTCCCACATCAGCCAGCCCACTGCGCGCAGGCATCGTGCCTTCCCCTCCCAACGGAGAAACGAACCTTAAACTGGACTATTGCTGAGACCATTTGGGAAATGAGTTCGGGGAGATGAGGGAGCCGGCCCAATGCCATGTGGCCAGGAGGAGGCAGAACCGGACCTCCCCAGGTCTGCCCAACACCGAGGCCCAGAAGCGCCTCACAGCCAGGCCCGTTTTCCGCTCCAACCCGCCGTGGGGCTGGCTGGCCAGGCATGCACCACCCTCCACCCCCTTCCCTCTGAACGGAGGAATCAAGTCCCAGAACCTCAGACCAGCTTGTGTCCTCCAGGAGCAGCGGGTTCCAGAGCTCCTCTCCCCAGAAAGGCTGCCGCTGCCATGACAACCGGTGGAGGCCACTCGCCCACGTGCCCGGTGACATCATCACCTCCCTACCCTCCCGAATTAGGCAGCAGCGCCTGCCCCACTCTGCTGGCAGCGGCTCCACCACAGGGGCCAGGCCAGCCCCGAGCACCGCCTTCCTGCCTGGGCCGGGGCGAGCCGGGTTCGTGCCCAGTCTGCCCCCCTCCCCTCCCCAGCCCCTGCCTGCTTTCTCGGGGGCACACCCAGCTGGCTTCCTTCTCCACAAATGGGATCAGCCCACATCCTGGAGGAATTGGGTGACCATGGAAACTCAAGTCCTTCCCGTGGGCTCTTCCTATGGCTTTTATGGCAACTGAGGCCGCAAGGCCACTTTGGGGAGGGCAGTGAAGGAAGCTTACGGGCAGGATCCACCCGGGAGGCAGGCACCCTGGGGTGGTCTCCTCCCACCCCTTGTTCTCCGCGCTGGGAGAGCCCACGGGGACCTGGGCCCAGAGCTGACCCAACACGCACGACCCCTCCGCGGGCTCTGCGCCCTGAGACCGGGGCTGAGACCCCAGAAAGCCCGCCCCCTACAAGGCCCCCCTGGTCGCGGCGCCCACCTTGATGGTGGTGAACTCCTTCCTCCAGGGCAGCAGGTACAGGTGCACGGCCGCCAGTTCCAGCAGCTCGAAGGCGCGGGCCAGGCGGCGCAGCGCGGGCGCCAGGTCGGCGCGACCCCACAGGCCGTCGGCGAGCAGCGGCAGCGCGTCGTCCTGCAGCGCCCCGTGCAGGTCGAAGTCCTCCACCAGGATCTGCCAGAGCACGGCGCGCAGCGACGGGTCCCCGCACACGCCCGCGCGGCCGCGCCGCAGCCCCCGCTCCAGGCACAGGCGGTAGTCCTCGCACAGCGAGCTGCTGCCCATCCTGGGGGCGGGGCGGGCCTTAGGGACTGGGACCCTCCGCCGCCCAGGACCTTCCGCCCGCCGGGACCCTCCGCCCGCTGTGGCCCCGAGCGCCACCAGCCTCCGGGGCGGGACCCTCCGCCGCCCGCGACCCTCCGCCCGCTGTGGCCCCGAGCGCCCCCCAGCCTCTGGGGCGGGACCCTCCGCCCGCCGGGACCCTCCGCCCGCTGTGGCCCCGAGCGCCACCAGCCTCCGGGGCCGGGCGCCGCGGTGAGGATGAGCAGCCACAGGTCCCCTCGGCCCGGGGACCCTGTCCGCGGCGCAGCGGCCCGGGACCCACAGCCCCTGCCGGGGCCCTGTCCGCCCTCCCGCGGAGTGCCCCCCCGACAGAGATCCGCTCCCGTTGGTCTGCCGGGAGCCCCGCAGGCCGCCCCCCTACCTGTCCGTCCCCGGGGTCCCCGGCGTCCGCCGCTCCGCTCGGCCTCTCCGTTAGCCAGGCGCTTCCGCCGAGCCCGCTCCGCCCACCGCCCGGCCGTGACGCGCGGGGCGGGGCTGGAGTCAGTCACCGCCGCCTCTGCCAAGGCCGGGCGGGGCGGGGCGGGGCCTGTCCGAGTGCGGGGCTTTCCCAGGGGCGGGGCCTTTCCCGGGGGCGGGGCCGGTGCGTTCCCAGTGGCGGGGCCTTTCCCGGGGGCGGGGCCAGTGCGTTCTTGGGGGCGGGGCCTTTCTCGGGGGGCGGGACCGGTGCGTACCAACGGGGCGGGGCCTTTCCCAGGGGGAGGGGCAGGGCCTTTCCTGGGGGCGGGGCCGGTGCGTTCCCGCGGGGCGGGGTGAGGCGGGACCTTTCCCGGGGGCGGGACTTGTGCATTCCCGCGGGGCTCGGAGGGGCAGGGCCTTTCCCAGGGGCGGGGCCTGTGGATTCCCGCGGGGCTGAGAGGGGCGGGGCCTTTCCCAGGGGCGGGGCCTGTGCATTCCCGAGGGGCGGGGAGGGGCGGGGCCTTCCCCAAGGGCAGGGCCTGTGGATTCCCCCAGGGCTGGGAGGGGCAGGCCTTCCCCAGGGGCGGGGCCTTTCCCGGGGGCGGGGCCTGTCCGCTCCCACCTGTCCCCGCCGAGCCCGTCTAGTGGAAGCCAAAACCGGTGCGGTGCACAGCGCATCCTCCCGCCGAAGAGCGGGCTCAGCGGGCACCCCGTGAGAGCGTCCCAGCAGCGGTCCCAGAGGAGGCCTCGCGGCTCCGGGACGGACGGGCCCTTTTCCCCGGGCCAGGCCCTCTGCAGCGCCAGGGACGAAGGAGCGGGAGTTCCTTGGGAACCGCGGGGCAGGGATCTCCTCTGGCGGGCGGGACCCTTCGCCTTACCCGCCAGGTGAGTGGGCGGTGCGGCCCGTCGTTCCTGCTGCGCTGCCAGCAGACTCCAGCCCACGAACCCCACCCTGACAGGACAGCGGCCCGGGTGCCCGCTGGCCTCCAGAGGCGGCTTGCTGGCTCACACCCACGCCCCTCGCCATAATATGTGGGCGGAGAAGGGCCGTGGCGGTTACCTCTGGGGTTCTCACTTCTGCAAACCTGCAGAAGGCCTGGAAAACTGGCCCAATAAATGCCGACTGGTCCTGCTTTTGTAGGCGCTTTTCCCCAAGAACCTGAACGCTGCTCCCACGACCAGCACCTGCTGTGCTTGGGCCCACGCCCCACCTCTACAGCCTCCAGGGTGCTGGGCCGGGAGTCCTCCTTCCCCGGCAGGTGCTGCCCATGGCTGGGGCCCAGACCCCTGCCCTCTCCTCTGCCAGAGCCAAAGGTACCACTGCTCAGCAGCCCCGTGTGCTGGCCACCCCGAGTACAAAACTGAGTGTCCTGCCCAGGTGTGACCTCCAACCGTTACCCCACCAGGCCCTGCAGAGGGGCCCATCCTATCCGAGAGGGCCGCCCCACTCCTGCACAGAGGGCGTGGGGGCAGGCCCCGTGTCGAGGACCTCAGGGGCCTCCGGACATCTGGCTCTTGCTGGCTCTACTGAGAGAGGGTGCGGTCCTGCCTCGGCCAGGAGTGGGGAGAAAGCCAGCGACACGGAGGGAGACGGCAGTGCAGTGACCTCTTTATTCTCAGCAGGTCAGTGGCTGCCGGGGCCCGTCGAGTCAGAGCAGGCCGTGCAGGCGCTGACCTGCTTCCCACCCACTGGGGGGATGTGCAGGGTAGGAACGGGCGGGGGTGCTTGATGCCCACCGCCAAGGGGGGGATGTGGCTCAGAGTCCTCAGGCGTGGGCAGCCCCCTGGGGACGCCAGGCCTCCAGGGGGGAGTGGAGTGGTCAGTGTCCAATAAATAAAAGTGCAGTTCAAGCCCCTGGGCCCAGGCCTCCGGGGGCAGGGTTTCAGGCTCTCTTCGGCTCCGGGAGCTGTCGCAGGGACAGGCGCCCACGCCCCTGCTCCGCCCTGTGCCCCCCAGGGGAGCCCACAGCCCTCTGGGGGAGCAAGGGGCCGACAGGGAGAAAGAGGGCCCGCTCGGCAGGCCCCGTGCTGTGGGAGCAGCTCTGCTGGCAGACGTGGGTTTGGGCGGCGGAAGCTGCAGGTGCCATCTCTGCTACTTGCCCAGGGCGCCCTGGGGCAGCAGCTCCACGTAGCTCAGGGCGCTCTGCAGGGACGTCAGGCAGTAGCCCCCCTCTCCGATCAGGTACCTGTGGGGCAGCATCTGTCGCTGAGGAGGCCCCGAGGTCGAGAAAGGGCATCTGCCCTCGGTGGGGGCAGGCCCAGGACCAGGGGGTGCCAGGGAAGCTGGGAGGGGAGACAGCCCATGCCCCAGGCAGATGCTGGTCAGAGCTTGCCCCGCTGTCCCGCACCCCGATCTAGGCAGTGTGCTGAGCGAGGGGGGGCAGAAAGGGGCTGGGGGGGGGTCGTGGGCCGTGTGGACGTGCCTGCCCGGCTCCCCAGCCTGGCCCTTACCCCTCATGGATGAACTCCTCCAGAGCCGCGCACTCCGACACCAGCTGGGGGAGGCCGCTCCTCAGCACCACGAAGGACAGGATGGGCAGCAGGTCGTCGGCGCCGCTGTGGGACAGGGCATGCTGGCTGAGGCGCCGGGGGCCCGTGGGCTGCTCCACCCCCACACTGCGAAGCCCCAGCTCAGCCCCACCCCGTGTGGTCCTGGGTTTACTGATGCTCTCTGCACCCACCCGCACAGAGCTCCTGGGAGCAGCCCCCTGGCGGCGGGGGCAGCTTTAACCATAAGCTCGCCCCAGCCTGGGGAGCAGGAGGATGGAGGATGGCCCCGGTCCCCGGCAGTCTGCTCACCCCTGCACACTGTCACTCAGCTGGGCACACAGGCACCGACCCTCTGTGAGAGGAGTCTATGTGAGCTGAGTGGAGAGTGAGCACCCTGGCCCAGGGTGGGTGGAGGTGGCGTCTGTCTCCCACTTTCCTGCCAACCTCACACTCAGCTCTGATTTCTACCTGCCCATCACCTGCAGGCCCCTGGGCGTGAGCAGGTGCCACCGCCTGCCCACCAGGCTGCAATGACAGGTGCCTCCAGGACGACCCTGGTCCCAGGGGCAGGGAGCCGGAGGCAAAGCCCCTGCAGGGGCTTTGGGAACGCCAGTCCCAGATGGGAGCAGAGCCGGAGGCTGCCGGCCACAGGCAGGACCAGGGGAAACAGGCCGGACCAGGCGTCAGAGCCCAGGCCGCAGCGCCTGGGAGGTGGGCAGGGGCGATGCAGGAACCCAGGGCGGGGGGCTCGGTGCAGGGGGCAGGCTCCTCACTGAGCAGGCAGCTTCCCCCAGGTGTGTATGGAGGGACCAAGCACGTGCATCTGGCGTGAGCAACCCCAAGTACCATCGGAGGGTCCCTGGCCATCATGCACCAGTGTCCACCCAGGCTGTGCCCTCCCTGGACTCACATGGCGGCTGCGCCGGGCTGTGGTCTGGCCTCGGGTGCAGGCTCCTGGGCCCAGTAGTAGCTCTCAGCACAGGCGCAGATGACCCGAAGGGCCCGCACTGCGGCACAGAAGCAAGTTTTGGGGTGAGGGCAGGGCAGGAGCAGCTAGAAGAGCCCCAGCACCGCCCATACCCATTGTGTGGGTGATCCCTCCGTGGGCACCGCGCTCACACCCATGTCCATGGGACACCCGGCTTGCAGGAGGACCTGCAGCTCAGACAAGACACACAGGCCTGGTTCCAGCTGGGACAGATTCAAGGCTGGTGACCACGCCCCCTCCTTCCTCCTATGGCTGGTGTGGCCACGCCCCCTCCTTCCTCCTATGGCTGGTGTGACCACGCCCCTCTCACCAATGCAGTCCAGCTTCTTCTGGGGGCAGCACTCCAGGACCAGCAGCCCCAGCTCCTGGGCAGCAGCACAGTAGGGGTAGGCGCCGGCTCCTGAGGCCTCAGGGCCCCGAGGGAGCAGTTTGGGGGGGATGCCGAGGGCGGCTGGGGGTGCATTACTGTAGAGCTCCATGCTCCTGCTCAGGGCAGCCTCCCGGGCGCGGTACACACTCCTGCGGCAGAGAGAGGCCAGGCTCAGCTGCCCAGGGGACCCGGCCCAGGTCAGGCAGGGTGGAGCGAGCTGGCCCTGCCCCCTACCCCAGGGGGTGGATGCGCCACCTAATGGAGGAAAGCCCCGGAAGCGGTCACACGTGTGCCCAGGACGGGAAGGCGGTGACACGGGAACCTGGAGGGCCGGGCTGGGACGGCACCTGTAGAGGGCCAGCAGCAGGGGCCACAGGGGGGAGAAGAAGGGCTCCTCGATGCAGGCCAGGCAGCGGTCCTTGGAGGCGGCCGTGTTGAGGCCTTCGAACGCCAGGAGGGTCAGCGAGAGCAGCCTGTCTGCCGGAGAGAGCCAGCACACTGCACTGTGGGCCGCTGGCAGCCCCCGGACCTCACCCAGACAGGTCCCTCACCCACCACCTTCTCCCTGCCTCCCAGAGCCCACCTTGGTGTGGCTGGGGCCACCGTTCGTGTCCTGGCTCAGGGGGGAGGGCTGCTGCCTAGCCCTCCCTCCGCTCCCCTTTACATCACTTCCTCCTGGTCTACATGGCCTAGGTCAGAGCTGGAGTCTGCACCCTCCTCCCTGGGTGCTCACTGGCTCCCCCCCAGCCCCTCACCCCCTGGGGGCCAAGGAAGCGGGTTCTTTCTGGAAGGGTTTGTGCCCAGACTGCAGGACCAGAGAAGCATTAGCAGCTATTCCAGGACAAGAAATCTGAGGCCCAGGGGAATGGAGCACCCTCCTGGGATGAGGGAGACTTGCTCAAAAAGATGGAGGACCCACCCAGGAGGAGGGGACCTGCCTGAGACAGGGCCTGTCTGGTCCCGTGGGGAGTGTGGGCCCCACAGTGAGAACAGGGCCCTGACTGCCAGGCTTCAGCTGCTGGTTCTGAGAAAACCCCTCCTCCTCAGGATTGGGGAGACCTTGGGGCACGGGACTGGGGAGACCCTGGGCCCTCCTCAGGGAGCCCACACACTTGGGGGGGGGAGCCATCGTCACCCCCAGGCTGAGCTGCACAGCCCTCGGTTCGGAAGGATGCGCGTCCAGCCCTAGGAGACAGCACGGCCCCTGGCTGTGAGGCCCTGAGGGTGGACCTTCCCAATCAGACTGCAGTGACCGGGCTGTGTCCGCCAGGCAGCCCGGGAGGCCTCAGCCAGGGCTGGGGGGATGGGACGGCCGCCAGCCCAGCTGCTATGGAGGCAGGGTGGGGCCCAGCTGTGAGCAGGATGTTTGGCTCAGAGGAAGGTGGAGGGGAGGGCCCTGCAGGTCAGGGCCGGCCTGTCTGCCGCACGAGCTCCCGCCGCCTGCCTGTCCAGCGGAGCCCTCACCGACCGCGTTGTGAATGTCCTTCACGGTGCTCTTCAGTGGCTCCAGTAGCGGCTCCTCCTTCACCCCCGAGGCCGGAGGGTCTGTCCCCTGCCCGGGGCCCTGGCCCCACCTCTCCGGAGTGGCCAGGAACTGTTCCAGGTCCTCGAAAGAGCTGTCCTTGCGCACGAGGGGTGAGGGGGACCCCCGAGGGCTGCCGTCTGCCCCTCTGCTGGGGGGCCTGGGCTGGGCTGGGGGTGTGGGGGGGCTGGCGGGGGGGCCGGCAGGCGGATGCGGGGCTGGGCTGGGCTCCGGGGAGGACAGCATGCAGTAGAGACTCTGGGAGGGCCGGAGGCGCCGGCTCCCTGGAGCCAGCAGCCCCTCGGCGTCAGGGGGCAGGGAGCAGCCGCCGGGGGCGGGGGCGGCCGCAGTGCCCCGGCTCACGACGTGGTACAGCGCCCGGTACACCGCGCACTGGAGCTTCTTCAGGAGCTGCGCGATGGGGTGGTCGGGGGCGCTGCCGGCACAAGCGGAGGCCGTGGGTTAGCGGGCCCAGTGGCCTCGGGCCGGGGGCTGGGGACTGAGAGCCCACCCTCCCACACCTTCGTCCATAAGCATCTCGCATTCCTTCCTCCAGAGGAGACGCTGCAAATAGTCTGGCCACCCCGGGAGGAAGCAGAGAGCCCTGAAAGACCTCGGGCAGAGGGGCCAGGCAGCATGGCCCGGCCTATCACCTCCTCTCCTCCTCGGCTTCCAGCAGCCGGAGGGCGGGGCCTGCAGACCCAGTACCTGAGCAGGTGGGACACCAGGCTGGTCACCAGAGACAGGTCCCCAGGGCTCCTCTTGAGCTTGGCCTTCCAGTGCTTTGGCCATTCCTGCAGGACAGGAGACCGTGGAGGAGAGTACGGGACCCCCACGAAGGGGGGTTCCTCCTTCCTCCTCCCTCCCCCCACTCCCTCCTCCCTCCAGGGCTGCACCCCAAAGGGCCAGGCCTCCTTGTTGATACCTCCCCTGGGGTGCAGTGAAGATCCAACGCGATCAGGTCCATGGGCCCCTGGGCCCCATGAGGGGTGAGGGGTAACCCTGGCCCAAGGACCCCCACCCAGAGCCGCAGCCGTGGCCCCGCCCCGGCACCTGCCCGGAACGCACGTGGTCTTGCTCGTACTCGAGGATGGCGGCGTAGAGGGCCCGCTGCTCCCGCTCCTCCGGGGTCAGGGCCACCTGGCTGCAGAACCTCCTGGGGAGGAAGGACGGGCTGGGCCTCGGGCGTCTGGGCACCCCCAGGCCTCCCAGCTGCCCGAGGCCAAGGCTGAGGCCGGCGGGAGGGGACGCACCTGTTGGCGGCCTCCTGGAGCCGCAGCCGCCGCTCCTCCATCTTCCTTTGCAGCTGGCGCAGGGTTAAGGCCGCATCGATGCCCTGACGTGCACTGAGCCCGGCCCGGCCAGGCTCAGCCGGACTCAGGGCCAGGGGCAGGGCTCTGCCTCGGCCCTTCAGGAGGTCCAGTCCAGTGTCGGCGCTGGAGGACGGGCACCCACTAGGGCGGGAGGCAAGTCCTAGGTGCCCTTGGCTGGGGACAGGACGGTCTTTGCAAAGTGGGGGCGTGCGGACCATTCCGGAGCACATGGCTCCCCCGAAGCTGAAAAAGCCCGCTCCCGCACCCTGACTTTGTCACCGTTTACTCTCCCGCTTCTCCTCCCTCAGCTCAAGGTCACCTTCCCGGTTTCCCCCCGGACACAGAGGCTGGGTGGACAGGAAGGATACAGTCTCCTCCCGGGCCTTGGCGATCACCAGGTTCTCCATCATCTGCCGCTGCAGGGACAGGGTCTGGAGGGGAGGGAGGGAGGAATGAGGCCTGCTCCCCCCGCCGCCCCAGCAGCACAGAGCCGCCCCGGGCGGGCCCTGCTCACCAGCGACGTCTTCTGCAGGGCCTGGCTGGGGTCCAGACGGGCCATCCGGGCCTCATAGGCGGCCTTCAGCTTCTGGTTCTGCAGGGAGGCCTCCTCCAGGGGGGTCAGCTCCCTGCAAACGGGACACGCTGCTGTCCGGGCCCAGGGAGCCCAGCGATGTTCCAGGGGCCCAGCCCTGAGGCCAGAACGGGAGGAAGCAGCGAGGGGGGCCGGCAGGAAGTAGTGTCTGGATGGACGGACCACAGCCCCCTGAAATGTGGGTGACCTGTTGCCAGGACGGCTGGCCTCTCCCAGGAAGCCAGACCTCAGACCTTGATGCAGTTCAGTCATGTGGGTTCGGCAACAACATGAAACTCTTAGGCACCTGTGAGCGGCTCACAAAAGGGACATCACCTCGACAGGAGGAGAGCTCCCCACAGCCACCCAGCACCAAAGCCTCAGTCCCCCCTGGTCCTGCTTCCCAGGGTGGGGGAGGGGGAGAGTCTTCCCTGGGGTGGAAGCGCTGGGCCTGGCTCTGCCCCTGAAGCGGAGCCCCAGGTGGAACCCAATGGCCTGGAGGCTCCTGAGCAGCAGCAGGCCAGCAGGAGCTGGTTCTCCTGTTTATCGGCTTGGAATGCTGGCATCTGGGTCTTGGTATTTTTCATCAGTTCTAGAAAATTACAGCTATGTGCCCTAACTGGTTTGGCTCAGTGGACAGAGCACTGGCCTGTGGACTGAAGGGTCCCTGGTTCTGAAGGGTCCCAGGTTCGGTTCCGGTCAAGGGCATGCACCTTGGTTGCGGGCACATCTCCAGTAGGAGGTATGCAGGAGGCAGTTGACTGATGTTTCTCTCTCATCGATGTTTCTAACTCTCCCTCTCCCTTCCTCTCTAAAAAAATCAATAAAATATTTTAAAAATTAAAGATAAAGTCAATAAAAAAAAAATTACAGCTATGTCTTCAAAGAACATGCCTCTCCTGTCTTTCCCCCCCTTTTCCTGGAACTCCAGTGACCACATATTAGACCTTCTATTTCTCAAATTTTCTGTTTGTTTTTTTTCTTTCTGTGAGTCGTTCTGGCTGTCCTTTTGACCTCTGACCCAATTCACTAATTCTCTCTTCAGCTATGTCTGCCTGACTGGTCACTTTGGGCACATACGTGGTGCTTCCTGGAGGACATACAATCGGCCATTGAACATCACAGGACTGATGAACTGGCCACGTCCACTTCTGTGCAGATTTCATTTAAAATTAAAAACTCACTTAAAGTACAGGTGTAAAAAGCCACAGCTTAAACCCATGTTACTTAAAGGTCAGCTGTGTTTTCAATCTGCTGCTGGGAATTCAGAGGCCAACTTACATCAAGCTCGGATCTGCAACTGTTGGGTGTTCAGTGCTCCCACCCCCCAGCACTCCAAGGATCAACTGTAATTTGTTGTTGCTGTTACCACTTAACTTTAACAACAAGGTGGTGCTACGGTTTTCATTTAGTTTCCACTTGGTTCTTCATTTGCTAGGTCAGGTTTTATAGTTTCTTGCTCCTGCAGGTATTTCTTTTCTTTATAGCATTTTCTTCTCTCTCTCTCTTTTTTTTTTTTAAATACGTTTTTATTGATTTTAGAGAGAGAGGGAGGGAAGAAGAGAGAGAGATATCAATGAGAGAAAAACACTTATCAGCTGCCTCCTGCATGCCCCTTACTGGGGATCAAGCCCAAATACCAGGCATGTGCCCTGACCTGGAATCAAACCTGCAACCTCTTGGTGCACAGACCACACTCAACCACTGGGCCACACTGGCCAGGGCAACTTGCATGTATGTTCACACATGATTTTATTCCTCTACATATAGGGAGCATGATTGCTTTACAAGCGTGTCTGATCACTCAATTCGACAATTCTGTCATCTGTCTCTGCTGTCCTTCCTTCTCTTTCTTACTTCCTGTGTGCTTGTTTTATGGAAGTGAAAGGAGCTTTTCTCCAAGGACAGTGTGTATGTGTTCCCGCCCTGCACATGGGCATTTCCACCCTGGGACCCATTTCATCCAAACTAGCCAGGTGAGCTCCCGTTGCCTGGCCTCCGAACCCGGCCCCGCCCACCTCCCTCGTCTCTGCCCCCATCTTACTTCTTAGAGCTTTGTGACTCCACCACCTGAAGCCTCTGGAAAATCTCTGGCGGCAGAAACGGGAGGAGCTTCCCCCCCTCGTCCGAGTACACCCGGCGGTGCCGGCTGGTGGGTGAGGGGGCAGCAGCAGCCACGGGCACGGCTGGCTTCAGGCTGGCTTTCCCTGCGAGGCACACAGAGCCGTGAGCTGGCACAGAGCCCCACAGGCCGAAGAGGAGACACAGCTGGGGGGACGCCCCAGGACAACCTGCTGGAGACCCACCGAGCTTGGCCACCGTGGACCGGGCCCTCTCCAGACACTGCTCCGCCAGCTTCAGCATCTTCAGGGCATCCAGGGGCACGGTCTGCCCAGGGTCTGGGTGCGGACAGGAAGACTGATTACCATCACTCATTCACTAACCAGATTCTTGCTGAGATAAACAAAGGGCAAGTTTACTGTCTCCTAACCTCTGACCCCCAGGCCAGCCCACCACCCCCCTCCACCGGCCTCATCTCTGACCATCGGCCCTCGGGCTCTGAGTAGGGCCAGCCCAGCATCTGACGGACTGTCCCACTGTCTCAGCTGGACCGTCAGAGCCTCTCTCTACCCAACGGGGCCTTTTCTCCCGAGGACTTCACCTGCACCCATGGCCTCTCCTCCAGGTGGGCCACCATTCAGGGACCCTGTCACAGAGACAACTTCCTCACCGCTTCCTGGCCTTCGGCTGTGCTCAGCCCACCCTCACACTCCCTAGGGCTTCCATTCTACACACTCTCCCACCAGCAGACACTCGCTGCAGGAGCTCCTCCCCAAACCCTGGACGCCACCAGCCCAGCTCCTGACCCACCTCCTGCTCCTTTCACAGCCAGCCCCTCAGCACACTCCCACTGAAACTGCCCTCATCCCCCACGTCTGCCCTAGTCCCAAGTGTTCCCCAACCTGTCAGGGTCTCTCTCCCCCAGGACACCCCTGGCTACTGCCACCAAACTCCTCCCAGACCTCATCCCACAGTGCCCAGACCTCGGCTGAGCTCCTTGGCTCCCCAGGGCTCCGTCCCTGGTGACGCCCACCTCTCCCCAACCAAGGTGCCCTGCGCACTGGACTGCTAGACACTTCAAGCAGAACCCCCCCCCCCCCAGCAAGTCTGGTGAAGTAAGCCCACATTCAAAGAACATCCCCCAGGCCATCCACCTGCAGGAGGTCTCACCACTGCTGTCCCCACCACGGGGACCTCCGGGAGGTTCTGCCCCCATGCCGGCCTCTGCACTGCTTCCAGGAGCTAACCCTCCTGTGGGAAGCACCCCAGCTCCATGCCTGCCTCTAATGCACGAACCTGCTCCAGCCTGCCTGCCGGCCTGCCTTTCCTCACACCCAGCACCCACTCCCAGCTCAGGGCTTCTGTTCGCCCCATGTCCTACGCCACCGCTCCCCTCATCACGTCACACCACGATAGCTTGTGCTTACTGAGAGCCCAGCCATTCAATGACCCCGTGGGTAGAACAGGACACCCAGGCCTGAAACCCGCCAAGGGTATAGGTGTCCAAACTCTGCCCAGCCCAGGAGCGGCGGCGAGGCTGAGAGCTGTACCTTCGCTAGCTTCCACTTCCTCCAGCAGCACCTGGGAGATGTAGTGGATGCTCCTCAGATATTCTGTATACGCCTCCTGTGCCGGGGAGAGAGATGGCCGGGGTCAGGCAGGAGAGGCAAAGGACCCCATCATGCCGCCTGCCGCCCTCGTGTCTGCTTATCTCTGAGATAGACCTGAGCACCTAGCCTGAGGTGGTTGGCTGATTCGCTGGTCTGCCTGGGACACAGGTGCATCAGTCTCCTCCAGACGTGAAGGGGAAGATGCTCAGCTGGGTACCCATCCCTTCTCCCTCCGCCTTTCTCTCCAGCACAGGAAGGAAGAGGCCAGGGGGAAGCAACTTTGAGAGCTGTGTCACTGTCCACTCTATGCAACAGGTTTCATTTCTGTGCCATTCATTCACGGGCTTGTAATTTATTTTCTTGGGAGGTTAATGAGGGAGAGCTGTTGCAAATCTTAGCATCTGTGTCTGGCTTGGGTTCTGGGAAATCCCTTTCCTGAACCTCACTTCCCGGTACACCGGATTCTAGAACGCTAGAACATTGCCAGTTTCAAGGGTGTGGGCATTCTGTCTGGGGCTCCCTGCACAGAGGCCATCTGGAACGCACAGCATGATGTGTGTGTGTGTGTGTTCACTGCATCCCGGTTTCCAAATTACTCATGTTTAAGTCTACACCTCAGAGCTTAGTACCATGGATTGCGGGGAGGATTTCTGACTTGGGACAGCCGGGGACTGAGTGGCGGAATGTATTTCCCGGGCTCGCCGGCAGCTGCTCCCTCCCGCGCAGTCCCGGGCGGGCGGCTCGGTCGGCTCTTCCACCCGGTCCCGCCCGGGATGCCACCCATTGGGGAGCGGGCTCAGCCACCCGCCGGGGCTGCGGCCACCGGGAAGGCACAGCACGGAGGAGGCGCAGTGAACCTTCTCCGATGCCGTCCCCGCGGGAATGTGATTAAATCCACGGCGTCTTCCCGGGGAAACACACACACGGAGCCTCTGCCGGGTCTATATGGAGGCTTCTTGGTGAGCCCTGCTGCATCCCCTTCACGCAGGCCAGCGCGGCTCCCATTCCGACCGCCGAGCAGACGGGGAACCGGGGCGGGCAGGCTGGGAGCTGTCCAAGGTCAGACGCCGCCGCTGCGCCCGGCACCCCGCAGCCCCGGGGGTCCCCGCCAGCGCCCCTCGCGGCCCCGCCCTCGCCCACGCCCACCGAGCCGGCCTCTCGAGGGGCCGGGCCCGCCGCGCCCGCCGCGCCCGCCGCGCCGCGCCTCACCCGGGGCCGGTTGCCGGTGTCCAGCTCGATGGCCCCGTTGGCCAGCTTCATAGCGCACTGCAGCGGCTTCACGGCGCCGTCCCCGGCCGCAGCGGCCATGGCGCCGGGCGGGGAGGCGGCGCTGGCGGCCCAGGGGCGGGGCGAACGGCCTGAAGAAGACCGGAACGAAGAACGCGAGGGAGCGGGGCCGCCCGAGCCGCGGACCGCCGGAACACACGGGACCAGCTCGGGATCACTTCCGGCCGCCCCGCCCGCGCCGCCCTCCGGCCGGGCGTCCAGGGCGGAAGGGGCGGGGCTCTCCAGTAGCCTCTCCACGGCGCCGCCGCGAGCGTGCGAATTTCACCCCGACCCCTCGCTCCGCGACCGTGACTGGCCCTCCGGCCGCCCCCCGCCCCGCCCCTCGCGCCGACCGCCACGCCCCTCTCCTCGCGCGGCCCTGCCCCTGCCGCCCCGCCCGTCCCGCTTTCCGGGAGCTCAGCGGAGCCGAGCGGCGGGTCGGGCGGGAACGAGCGAGTACCGTCCGGCCGAGCGGCCGAGAGCTCGGGGCCCGAGTGGGACCCGCGGGGCCGAGCGGGCCCGAGCGCAGCCGGGTGGAGCCGAGCGGGCCCGAGCGGGGCGGGGCGCAGGGGCGGCCGCCATGAAGCGGGACCGGCTCGGCCGCTTCCTGTCGCCGGGGACGGCGGGGCCGCGCAGGGGCTCGGGCGGCTGCGGCGGCGGCGGCCGGACCCGGGGCCGCCCCTCCCGCGGGAGGCCGAGCGTGGACGAGGCGTCGCTGGCGGCTTCCCGGCTGGGCTGGGGGCCGGCGCGGGCCTGTGGGGACGCGGGCGAGGACGGCGCGGACGAGGCAGGTGGGTTCAGCCAGCCGCCCGGACCGCGGCCCGGGGCCTCTCTCCCCGGGCCTCTCCCTCCGGCGCCTCTCTCCCCGGGGCCCTCGGGCCGCTGGAAGGCGGGCGGAGCCTCCCGGGCGCCCGCGCGGGGCGATGTTTCGCAAGAGCCGGCCCTGCTGCCCGCGGAGCTCGCAGTTAACGCCCGAGCGCTGCGGCCGGACGGGCCTGGGTTGACCCGAGTCCGCGCAGTGGTCGGCAGGCCGAGGTCATCGCTGACCCTCCGCGGCCTCGGCTGCCGGCTCATTGGCACAGAAGCTGTGGGTCCGGTGCGGTGCGCGCGCCTGGCCCCGGCCTGTGACTCCGCACCGGGCGCCTTTGCCCTCGGCTTCATCCTCAGCGCACACGGACCCAGACAGGCGGGATGAGCGGGACACCCGCTTCGCTGCTGATCTCAGGATGAAGTCTCCAGCTTCCTTTACGAACTGACACAGCTGTGGAGGCATTTATTAACTATTTGTTGAGAGCTTTCTTTGGGAAAACATTTTTACTGAGCTATCATTGATATAGAACATATTTCAGATGTGCAACACAATCCTTTGGTATTTGTAAATACTGTGAAATGACCACCACAGTGTCTGGTTAACATCCATCATGACTACTTTTTCTTTATGCTGAGAACTTTTAAGCTCTACTCCCTTAGCAAGTTCCACGTGTACAATTATAGCCAGTTATAATTAGTGTTGTTAATTATAGTCACATTCCCTTTTATCAGTGGAAGTTTGTACTTTTTAAAAGATAATTTTTTTTATGGATCTTGGTGAGGGAGGCAGAGATAGAAACATCGATGTTGAGTTGACTTTGGTGTATGGCATAGGATAGTGGTCTAGTTTCATTTTTTTGCATGTGGCTTTCCAGTTTTCCCAACACCATTGTATATTCTTGGCTCCCTTGTCATAGGTTGACCATGTATGCATGGGTTTATTTCTGGGTCCTCTGTTCTTCCACTATGTGCCTGTTGTTGTTTTTAATGTATTTTTTATTGATTTTTTACAGAGAGGAAGAGAGAGGGATAGAGAGTTAGAAACATCGATGAGAGAGAATCATCCATCAGATGCCTCCTGCACCCTCCCCACTGGGAATGTGCCCACAACTAAGGAACATGCCCTTGGCCGGAATCGAACCCAGTCCGCAGGCCAATGCTCTGTCCACTGAGCCAAACTGGTTTCGGCTATGTGTCTGTTTTTATGCCAATTCTACACTGTTTTGATTAGCTGTGTAATACAGTTTGAAATAAGGAATTGTGATGCCTCCAGTTTTGGCTGTTTGGGGTCTTTTCTGGTTCCATATATGTTTTAAGATTGTTAGTTCTATTTAGTAAAAAATACTCTTGGACCTGGCTGGATAGCTCAGTTGGTTAGAGTGTCGTGCTGATACATCAAGGTTTTAGGTTCAGTCCCCAGTCAGGGTGCTTACAAAAGGCAACTGGTCCGATATTTCTCTCTCACATTGATGTTTCTCGCTCTCTCCCCTCTCCCTTCCTTTCTCTCTCTAGAATCAATGAAAAATATTTCATCAGGTGAGGATTTTAAAAAAGGCATCAACCAATGAATGTAAAATAAGTGAAACAAATTTATGTTTTTCGTTCTCTCCCCCTACCCTTCTCCCTTCCCCCCGCCTCCCCCCAAAATCAATTTTTCCACTGCTATTTGAATTTTGACAGGGACAGTGTTGAATCTTAGATGGCTTTGGGTAGTGTGAACATTTTATGAATTCTTCAAATTCACAGAATATTAGAATATTTTTCTGTTTGTCTTCAATTTCTTTCAGCAGTGTCTCATAGTTTTCGGTGTACAGGTCTTTCACTGTCTTGGTTAAATTTATTCCTAGGTATTTTATTCTTTATGATGCAATTGAAAGTTGGGTTGCTTCCTTACTTTCTCTGATAGTTTGTTAAGGACTGTTTTTTGCACATTGACTGTATCCTTTACTGTGACTTTACTGGCCACGTGGCTTCCCTCCTAGAGCTTGTGTCTTGTCTGGCCTGTGTTTCCCAGGAACAGGCCGGGCTCTTGCCATGGGGCACTGCCGCCTCTGCCATGGGAAGTTCTCTTCACGGAGCCTCCGCAGCATCTCTGCCCGGGCACCTGGGCAGATCTCTGAGAGACCACCCCCAGGGGAGCGGGTTTTCGTCAGGGACTTCCAGCGTCTGCTGGGGGTGGCCATCCACCAGGACCCAGCTTTGTCTCAGTTTGTCTGCAAGAACTGCCATGCCCAGTTCTACCAATGCCACGGCCTCCTCAAGTCCTTTCTGCAGAGAGTCAACGTGTCCCCAATGGGCCCCCGGAAGCCCTGCACACAGTAGGTGCTCCCTCCTTTGCTCATTTGGGGGTGCTCAGGGTAAGCCCCATGTACTGTGCTGTTCTTGGCACAGGAAGTGCCTGGTGGGAGCCTGTGCAGTGGGGAGGGAGGGGGAGATATGGTGAGGTTGCAGTGGTCACGTGGAAGCTCCAGAGAGACTGGTGTGGGAGGGGAGGGCCGAGAAGGCTCTGAGTATAGACAGCATGGAGGGACAGGGTCAGCCCACATGCGGGAGAGCCAGTAAAGGGAGCGAGTCTGCCTCCCACTTGCTGGGAGGCCGCACTCATGTCCATGCTGATCCTTTGCAGGGTGGGTGCCCAACCCCCAACAGAGGCCGAAGAGGGAGCGTGTCTAGGTGAGTGTCCCTGTCCCTGGAGCGTGGGGTAGAGGGGCTACCTGCGAGCTGGATGCTAACCAGCCACGGGGCTGCTGTCTGTGCCTTTCCTCAGTGGACCTGATCACGTCAAGCCCGGAAGGTCTGCGTGGCCTGGTGGGGTGGGTGCATGGACACGCGGCCAGCTGTGGGGCCCTGCCCAGCCTCCAGAGGACGCTGTCCTCCGAGTACTGCGGTATCATCCAGGCCGTGTGGGGCTGCGACCAAGGCCATGACTACACCATGGACGCCGACCCCAGCTGCGGGTCTCTCCTGCTGGACAGCGCTTTGGCAGTCAAGTGGACATGGGACAAGGAGACGGCCCCACGGCTTACCCAGCATCAGAGGTCCAACCCCACTGGGGCTGCCCCTCCATGCTCCCAGGGCGGAGCGACCACAGCCTGGACGGAGACGGAGACGCTGCCCAACACGGACGGGATCCAGCCCCCTTCAGATGGCAGCCCCGGGGGGCTTGGGCCGAGCCCCCAGCCTCAGTCTAGCCTGCCCCCAAGTGGGGCTCCAGGTAGGAGCTTCTCTGGGCTGTTAGACCAGGATTCCTACCCCGAGCCCGCAGGGTCCTCGCAGGAAGTGGATGTCTATGCCTGTGGGCAGTGGTGGCTGAGTCTTGTGGGCATCGGGCGGCAGGGAGGGCCAGACCCCGTGCTCACTGTGAGGCACTCCTCTGCTATCCCCTCACCACCTGCTCCGGCCCGGGCTCGAGGGAGGAAGAATGGGGCCTTGTCGCAGGGTGTAGGGGGAAGAGGACAGCTGTGCCTCTGAGGCTGTTTGGGTCATTTCCTGGGCCTCAGCCAGCACCCTAGTGACTCCCCAGTGGGACCAGCGTGGACAGGCTCCTTTGCTGTGCGGAGGGGAAATAGGCCGTTGGGGTGATGGTTGTTCAGGGACATCATGTTAGGCCAGGCCGGCTCCTGCCTGTCAGTTGCCATGTGTGCCCTGTCTGCAGTGGGCGCTCGGCCCCTCGAGTGTGAGTCCTTTCAGAAAGCACCATTCCCAGGATGGCTTGGAGGGAGACGCTCAAGCTGGAGGAAGCGGAGACTGTGCGAGGGCCCTTAGGGCTGCACGACTGTTTACACTGTGCGTGCGATACTTGATAACAGGAATGTTTTTAAATGACCCGAACATTCATGGCGCGTGAGTCGTCCTACCCTGCAACAGCTGGATCAGAACCTCTGGGAGGAGGTCAGCAGCTGTGACTGTCGCTGGGTATCGGGTGCTCAGCGCTGCCCGTGCTGGACGCAGGGGTGGCCTTGAGCTTGGCAGTGTTGGGACCTTGCGGGGGATGGAGCTGGGAGGTGGGTGGAGTTTGAGGCTGGGGGACCCTGGGCTCACCACAAGGAAGGCCCTGTCGTCAGACGACCATATTCCTTGCTGGGAGCCCTGCCTACGCACCAGTTGGTAACAGGAGCCTTGTTCTTTGTTTCTCAGGGCAGTTGGGTGAGAAGCAGTTTCCGTCTTCATCCTCGGATGATCGGGTAAAAGACGAGTTCAGTGACCTTTCTGAGGGGTGAGAGAAGAGTGGGTTTAAACAGCCTAAAATTTCTCCTTGGAAAACCAAACTCTACATCCTGGGGGCTCGCTGTCCATGTCCTGGCCAGGGGTGCTTCCAGGCTTCTCGACCCTGATAGGGGCTTCCTGGGTCCCTGCGGGTACCCCGCGGATGCAGCCACCAGGCAGCAGGACCTGCGTGTGCGGAGCTCCTGGGAGGGTCCATTGGGCACCCTCTTCTGCCATTTGTCTCCTTCCGGCCTTAGTTCTCTGCTGACCCCACATTTCCTAGAGCAGAGAACACAGCTTCTGGCCCTTTGTCATGGCATCTGTGTGACTGGGGCTGTCTGCTCCTGGGCCACCCTCTGCCGCTGAGCCAGGACCCACTCAGACCCTTCCAGTCGACCCTGCTAGCTATGGCTAGAAGGCAGATGCACCCTTGTCCACAGAGTAGAACCGTTTTTAGTGCACCAATGAGGGCACGTGCCAGAAACACCCCTGGGACTGGAGTGGCCGCGGCCAAAGGGGAAGACCATGGCAAGCCAACAGAGTGAACAGTGATTCATACTTCAGGGCGAAGGTTACAGGCATAGAGCCTTTTCTGGCCTTTGAAATGGCTGACAGTTGACCTGTCAGTTGGACAGGTCCTCCCAGGGTGAGGCGACGTTCTGAGCGTCCACTTACTCAGTAGCTCACCACCTGTGAGGTCTTCGCACCTGCCTGGGGCTTCCTTGGAGAGGTGCCTTCCGAGTTTGGGGTCCTTATGTGAGGAGAGCATGTTAGGAGATGGGCTAGAGATTGGGGGGTTTCAGGTTTCTTTCAGAACTAAAACATGGACTATGGGGATCTGTGTGGTGTCCAGGTAGGAAGTTGCATCGGATCTGTCACCCGCGCAGAGCTTGCTAAAGGCTCTCTCTTCTGTCCTAGGGACTTCCTGAGTGAAGACGACAATGACAAGAAGCAAAACACCCAGTCCTCAGATGAGTCCTTTGAGCCTTACCCGGAAAAGAAGTAAGTGGGACTTGGTGCAAGGCCCGGGGCTGGTGTCCATCGGGGAACTGGGCGCCACACCTGTGCTCCCCGCACATTTGGGTCAGCCTGCCAAGTCCAGGGCAGTGTGGCTTCTGAGTGAGCAGAGGCCCTTCCCAGGACAGCTCTGGACCTGGCCTCAGTGTCATTCGTGAGGCAGCTGATGTCCAGGTGAGGGTGGCAGGAGCTCTGGGCATAACCCAGCCTCATTTTGAAGCTCCTTGCTTTCCCCCTGCCAGTCCTGCTCACAGCCACACCACTCTGCCAGCCTCTGATTCCTGCTTTCTTCTTGCTCTTGGTGATGAGTCTCTGGGTTTGGACTCAGCCCTGCACTTGTTTGCAGCTCTGCCTTGGGCACTGATTTCTATGCCACTTCCTTGCTGAGGAGCGTCTAACGACCTTGTGTTGACCTCTTTTCAAGGACTTGTCTCTGCTGGTAGAATGTAGGGTCCTGGTAGGAAGGGACAATTTTTACTTGTGTCACTTTCTTCCCAACACTGTGCCCAGGAACCCCCAGACCCTTGCAGTTGTCGATGCCTGACATGGGCACCGTCCTTTAGCATTTCACAGCAGTGAAAACAAGCACAACCATAGCCAAGAAAACGCAGAGGCAGATTGAGAAGCAGTCACGAATTCTTTTCCTTTAAGTTCTGACATGGGTTACAGAGAAACAGGATAGTAGGGACTATAGGCGGCCCTGGGGAGAGATCAGTCAGTGTGTAGCCCTGAGGTTCCCACCCCGCCATGCCCATCTCTAAAACCCACAGGCTCCCTGAAGCCTCCTCTCTGCAAATGTAGTCCAGGCTGGGAGGGAAATGGCAAATTACCTGTCAGTGCAGCTGAGAGGTGCCCAGGCCACTGAGAAGAGGGTAAAGGCCAGCGACCAGGAGACACACAGCCAGATTCAAAGCACAGACTTGACACAAGGAGAGGAGAAGCCTGGGTAGTCATCAAAAAGGTTCTTTTAATATTCTCATTAAAAGGAGGATAATTACAATTCTTCTTTAAAATTTGTGGTAAAAGACAGTTTGCCATTTTTAAGTTCAGTGGCATTAAGTACACTCACAATGTTATGCAACAATCACCACTATTTACAAACTTCTCATCACCCTGAGCAGAAACTCTGTACACATTAAGCAATGACTTCCCTCCTCCCCCCAGGCCCTGACAACCACTTGTCTAGGGATCTCAGTAGAATTATATTTGTCCTTTTGTGACTGGCTCCTTTTGAGATTTACCATATTATAGCCTGTGTCAGAGCTTAACCACATCTTGGGTGTTTTCACCTTTTGGTTATTGTGAATAATGCTCTAAATACTGATGTAGTCATTCTAATGGGTGAGAAGTTAATTTGCATTTATCTAATGATTAGTGATGTTGAGCATCTTTTCACTTGCTTTTTTTTTTTTAAGAGAAAAAACATCAATTTATTCTACTTACCTATGCATTCATTGGTTGATTTTTGTACGTGCCCTAATGGATCTTATAGGATAGAACCTGTAACCCTGGCGTATCAGGATGACACTCGAACCAGCTGAGCTACTTGGCCAGGGCTACGTTCATGCTTATATCTTCTTTGGAGAAATGCCCTCTCAAATTCTTTGCCTATATTGTAATTGGGTTGTCTTTTTGCTGTTATGTTTTTCCTATTCAGTGGGTTATCTTTTTCACTCTCTTGGTCATGTCATTTGGTGGGCAAAAGTTTTAATTTTGAAGTCTAGTTTACCTATTTTTACTTTTGCTCTCTTTGCTTGTGTCATATTTAAGAAACCATTGACAAATCCAAGATCATAAAGATTCACTGTTGTTTTCTTCTAAGCACTTTGTTGTTAGCATGTAGAAACAGGACTGGTGGTGTGTGCTGATTTTGCACCCTGCAACTTTGCTGAATTTATATTGTATGGGGACTCTGTAGGGTTTTTTGCATATAAAATCATGTCATCTGTGAATAAAGATCATTTTCCTTCCTTTCTAATTTAGATGGCTTTTACTTTTTCTGGCCTAATCTCTCTGGCTGGGATATCCAGTATTATTTTCTTGATCTCAGAGGGAACTTTCAGTCTCTAACCATTGAGGATGATGTCAGCTAAGGCTAGTCACATATGGCCCCAGATGCTCCCTTCTATTTCTTTTTAACTTTATTTTAGTTATAACATTTATTGTTGAGAAGTATTACCCCTCTTTTTAAAATATATATATATTTTATTTTTAGAGAGGAAGGTAGAGGGAGAAAGAGAAATATCAATTTGAGAGCGAAACATTGATGGGCTGCCTCCCACATACCCTTAGGCATGTGCCCTGACCAGGAATCAACCAGCAACCTTTTGGTACACAGATGATGCCCAAATGAGCCACACCAGCCAGGGCTCCCTTCCATTGCTGACCGAGTTCCTTAAATGTCTGGGTCCAAAAAGGAAAACAAGTATGTTCTCTAAACTTTTAACAGACCCTATGGGTCCCGCACTAAGTCCCCATGGCCCACTCAGCCCCAGTGGCAGAGCTGAAGGGGGGTGGCAGCTGGTGGAGCACACAGAGCACTCTGCCCAGAGACAGCACTTACCCCTTAGGACTTAGATTGCTGTAAGTCTCCCATCAAGGTCCAAAGTTCCACAATTATTGAATCTATCTTTTTTCTAGCTCAATGGTGGTTTTGTTCCAGGGGCTGACTCCTAAAGCTTCTGTATGCCACCATTTTCCATGGTATCTCCAGTGTTTGATTTTATATTTAGGAGTAAGACTTCAGTCCTAAAACCCACTCCTGTAGTCATGGGGGCAGTACTGGGCATCTACCTCCTGAGTTGTTCTGGCTTTCGTGGCTGAGAGTCCTGTTCATGGCACCCAGTTAGCACATAGACTGAAGCAGGCTAGCCCTGAAGCTGAATCATATCGGAGAACATGAAGGAAAGTGAGACCCATGTACAGAGTCAGACACATCACTGCATCTGATCTACTCTCTCTCCCCCCCTCACCCCCCCAGAGTCTCTGGTAAAAAGAATGGAAGCAAAGAGGCCAAGAAGCCTGAAGAACCAAAAATCCGGAAGAAGCCTGGACCGAAGCCGGGCTGGAAGAACAAGCTCCGCTGTGAAAGGTGAGGCCGGTGTGGGCTGTGCTGCCCGGTGTGCAGCCAGGGCGGCAGCTCCATGGTGCCCTGTGTTTTAGGGAGGAGCTGCCCACCATCTACAAGTGCCCATATCAAGGCTGCACAGCTGTGTACCGGGGGGCTGATGGCATGAAGGTAAGGAAGGTGCTATTGAAACCAGGGCAGGAGTCTACAGGAGCAGGGGGAGGTGTCAGGTCCAGACTCACCCAAGGGTGCTGTGAACCTGGGGAAATGGAGATGTGAAGTAGCCCCGCCATTGCCATGCTCCGTGGGAGGATGCACCAGCCTTTGCTCTTGGGAAAGCGCCTGTCTTCAGTGAGGAATGGTGGGATCTGTCCCTTCGAGGGTGGTGCACAGGCCTCAGGCGGCAAGTGCTGCGTGCTGGGTGAGCTGCTGTCCATGCCCAGCCCAGCACTCAGGGCCTCGCTGTTCCTCTGCAGAAACACATAAAGGAGCATCATGAAGAAGTACGCGAGAGGCCCTGTCCCCACCCTGGCTGCAACAAGGTGTTCATGATTGACCGCTACCTACAGCGGCATGTGAAGCTCATCCACACAGGTGCATGCCCTGACCCCCTCGTGGGAACAGTCTGGGCCTTGTGGGCTGCAGTGTTGTCAAGTCAGCTCAGTTGGTCAGTGTGGAATTGGCAGCAAAGAAATCCCAGTGTCTTTCTGTGCATATATTGTGGTGGGTTTTTAAATTTTAAAAAACATCATGCTTTTGGGATGAGAGGAAGCCACATGCATTGTAGAAATGGTGAGACATAAAAGCTCAGATGCAGCCACCACTGTCAGCTCGAGTGCCACTACTTCTCCATGTCATAACCTGGGCTGCTACAGATTCATCATTTTCGTGGTGTGACCCACACCACCCACGTCAGGAAACACAAGAACCACACATACACCAACCAACGGAAATGGTTGTATAGTTTGACCATTTGTTTCTTGGTCAAGAGTCTAAGAAACGGATTTCCAAGATGGGTGCTCCCTTGGTGGTCCAATGTGGAGTAGCAGTGCCCGAGACCGTGTGATGTGGCTTCCTCTCAGAATCTGTGCTCAAGTATGTAGAGGGCCTTCTAGGATGTTTAAGAAAACTGGCTTCCAACATGCAGCGAATTTAGAGGAAGCTCCAGACATGGGCTGGAGGGCTCCGCTAATGACTTGTATGATAGTTGTCTTTCATCCGAGTAAAATCAGGTCAGCAAGGTCTCCTGCTTTGGCACTGAGTGTAGAAAGCCTGCAAGGTGGGCCTTCTGGGGCCTGTGCTCACCTGTCTCTCCTCAGAGGTGCGGAACTACATCTGTGATGAGTGTGGACAGACCTTCAAGCAACGGAAACACCTCCTCGTCCACCAGATGCGGCATTCGGGAGCCAAGCCTCTGCAGTAAGTGTGACCTGGTATCTCCTTGTGGCCACACTGGCACCCAAATCCTTGCTCACTTTCCCTTGTCCCCTAGGTGTGAAGTCTGTGGGTTCCAGTGCCGGCAACGGGCATCTCTCAAGTACCACATGACCAAACACAAGGCTGAGACTGAGCTGGACTTTGCCTGTGACCAGTGTGGCCGGCGGTTCGAGAAGGCTCACAATCTTAACGTGCATATGTCCATGGTCCACCCTCTGACACAGACCCAAGACAAGGCCCTGCCCCTGGAGCCACCACCCAGGACCACAGAGGGTCAGGCTGTGAAGCCTGAGCCCACCTGAGGGTGCTCAGCACCTGAACTCAGCAGGTGGTGGGTGGGGTCGAAGGACAGCTTTCATAGTTCCTCCCATGAGACCTGAAGGCACAACTTGGCTCACTCTGAGACCCCGTGCTGAACCTCACTCCTGTGCTGGAAGGCGGGAGGCTCAGTGCAGGCTGAGGTAGCCTTTCTGCATCCATTCTGGGACCAGCAATTTATTTTCCTATAAACATGGACTTGGGGCCAGATACAAATTTTAAATAATTGAGTCCTTTTCCTCACACAAGCAGTCACAGAGATTTGTAATCCACTTTTTCGTGCAACAAGAGCTCCACATTATGCTCGTAATTGTTTACAAAGGAATAGTACGTGTGCAGGTCCAGTCAGAGGAGGCAGGGCTCCTGGGAGAGGCCAGTATCCTGCATGGCCCGCTGCTTGCTCAGGAGGGCAGCACTCACTTCAGGGTCACAGTCTCCACGAGTGGCCAGCAGCTGCAAGAAAACACCATGCTCAGTGCAGCACAGATCCAACACCAAGGCACGGGGAGAGAAGCTGGTGACCACAACTGACCAGAAAAAGTGGCCAAGTGTTGGACCTCCGCACCCTCACACTTGTATAGTGATTTGGATTTATAAACAAACACCATGGTGGACATTTGGGCATTACCTCTGCCATATTAGAGAAGCTCGCTCTGGAACACCGAGGTATTGATCGCAGCAGGAAAAGACGAGCTTTAGTTATCAGGCCAACAGGGCAGCCCTAGAGAGAATAGACAGAGCAATAGTCAGGTGCCCACACGTGTGTCAGGAGGGATCATCACCTGAGAGCTTGCCATATGGGCCTGTGGGATGTGCCACCTGCCCCTTGGGTTGTAGGATGTAGACACGTGAGATGTGCCAATTGCCTGGACAGTGCACCCTTTCACCTGCCTGACCCTGGAGCTCCTGGGTCCTGCTAGCCGGACTTGAGAGTACACCTGTCTCGCCGGCTACAAAGAGGCAAAGCAACTTCAGATACATGTCCACAGCAATGGGCAGGAAGGCATCGTCCCGGGTGAGCGCGTCTTCGTCAAAGTAGGAGAGGAGGCTGATGGTGAGACTAGATGTCAGGTGACACCAAGACCTTCCAAAGATGGGTACAATTGGCACAGGAAGTTCCAGGCCACCTGTGCCATCTGGAGGGAGACCCAACTGGCCAGGGAAGGCCCTGGTGTGCGAGCTCCTCCTGTGAGGAACAGACAGCATGTGGTCTGACCAGAAGAGGGAGTTACCTGTAGAAGGCGACTGGCATCAGCCTTACATGCTGGTCCGGTGCCAGGAGGAAGAGGAGGTGACCCAGGCCAGCATCTGCAACCCAAGGGGCTCAGTCAGCCCTGGTCACCGTCCCCCAGGACCAGTGACTTCAGGATCTTGTGTACCTCTGTGGGCCAGGCAGGTGGACCCCCACAGGATAGCTCAGTGCCACCCTTCTGGAGTCCTCGATGCTCCACTAAATTCTTTTATATGCTTTTTGTCCTGGTGAAAATGTAGGGTTTTATATGCTTTGCAAGAAGATAACCATTTGAAAGTTGCTTCTGAAGGGACTCAAATGTCAGGGGTCACAGTTTGACCCTGTTAGGTCAACTGCACTGCTAGCAAATGGCAGATGACTAGGAGACACAGGCCACCATCCATCTGCTATCAGGTCTCAGTGGTTTTCTTACCTGTTTCTGTCAACTGAAAGAGCGGCAGCCAGGGCACTTTCCTCTTCTCCAAATACTCCAAGATCTCAGCACAAACGTCCAAAGCCGTCAGGCAGCTGGCAGCCTGTGACCCACAGAAGAGGAGGAATGACTCAGACAGCAGTGGCTGCAGAGCTGAATGTTGCCACTGGGTTCAGAGCTGGGCACACATGGGCAGAGGGATGACCCTCCTCACAGAAGGGAGCCTTTCCTTGTTACAGAGTGTGTTGCTTGAGGGTCTCTGATGGAAGGAACTCCAGCAGGAGGTGGTGGCCAGGGACCCTGGGTCCCAAGTGCTGAAGTAAGACATTGAGGGCCTAAGGCCAAGGAGCTTCTACTCCAGTGAGCACAAGACTCCACCCTTTACCCTGACCCAGGAGGCCTGGGCACCTGAGGACCTGCAATTTCAAGCAACCTGGGGAAGAATCCCGAGACATGAGGGATAACATACCGGTGGGGTCAGATGTGTCGATAGCAGGCCCATCAAGGAAAAGAAAAACAGGACAACCAGTAGCTGCAAATACAAACGGGGACACTTGCAACATGAAGTCATCCGTGCTGTCCCTACTGAACAGTCCTAGGTGTGGAACGCAGCATTCCTCATCACCACTTCCAGGCCCAGGGCACAAACCTTTCCTCTAAGTGGATCTTCTCAGAAAGAAAAATTTCCATAATTGTGTGGATCATTTTTATGCTGTCTTTAAACCCGGCTATCGCCAGGGGTCTCCTTGGCCTTGAGTGTCCCCACCACAGGTAGCTCATCTGTGCAGCTCAGCCTTGTTCCCCAGCTTTGTGTCCAGAAATGTTTGTAAAACTCTGGTGGTATACCCACAGGCTACAACCTGCCTCTCTGACCCTGACCCTAGGCACACCCAGGCACGATGGCGCCTCTGTGACCCTGTCCTGTCCCCTTGGTACACCAGGCCTTTCAACAGAAACACCTGAAAACAATCATGGAAAAATCTTATTTGTATGTTTTTTACTTTAAATTATAATCACCAAAAATACATTGGCTCAGCAACTGATTCATTTGCCCAGCAGCTGGGCGTGCTGAGCTGACAGGTGGCCTCTAGTGCCCTGGGGACAGTGGTCCCACAACACCCAATAGGAACAGTTCAAGGTGCCAGCCTGCACTTGGAGCACCTGCCCTCCGCTGCCCTGTCTCAGCCATGCCTAACTGGTGCATGTGAACCGAGGCGATGGAGACAGACACCAGGTTCCACTGGCAGTTTGACAGCTCTGCCCTGGGTTGTGATGTGAACGAGAGGAAGGCCAGTGAAAGACTTCAGAAATGAAAATAAGATATTCTTTTTACTAATAAACTCGACAGTCCACGTCTTATGAAATCTTAAACCCAGCAAATTTTGCTTTCAAATAAAGTGTCAGAATCTCCAAACTTCCTGTGTCTGTGTGTGCTTCGGGAAGTTCTCATTAGGTGAGCTGAGAAACACCACTGACCAGAACACTGACAACGGGCCTGCTAGGAGGGAAAGTGAGAGAAGAGCTGTCCTTACCTCCTCCGTGGGACAGCCCAGCCTCTCCAGGCCTTTCTTCAGACTCCCTTTCCCAGCTTGTTGAATCGCAAAGTGTAGTGCAGCAGCAGAGACCCAGGCCGGGCCCGGGGCAGGGGACACTGTGTCAGGGTACTCTGTGTCGGGGGACAGGAGGCTGGGAAGAAGAGAGCTGTGTCATCACAGGAGCCTGGCAATCAAGTCACCACTGAAAACCTAAGGTCCTTGTTCCCAAAACAGTCACAGTGCAGACCCACCCGCCTAGAGGTTCAGAGTCAGCAGGGAACAGTCTGCAGAGCCCAAGCCTGTCATGGGCTCACCCTTGGTTTAGGGTCCAGTTTCAGGTTTCAGCATGCCTGTGCCCTGGACACAAGGTGCGGGAGGGCCCGACCGGGGTACTGGTCCCAGTGCCTGAGCTTGGACCCTACTCTGACTGCGGTGCTGCTCAGAAAGGTTCTGTGGCAGGTGAAAAACAGGCTGAAAATTCATAATGGGATGGAATGTACTATCTACTCTAGAGTTAGGTTGGTGGGCATGACTTGCCTTCCTTGTTTCCGGAACAGATTTTGAGCACCCCTGACCCTGCAGGGAGACAGGTGCACATCAGGGATAAGAACGCGAGTCTCAGAAATGAAAGGCTGCTAGCTGGGGACTCGAGATTCCTTTGATGACCTCACAGCACCCCACATCCAGCAGGATACTGGAGACCATCAGCCCAGCAGTCCCAGGAGAGCTGGTTAACCAGGTCACTCAGGCCCAGAAACTTAAACAGGGTTTAACTGGTAACTTAGGCTGAAAACAGTCTTTTCCAAAACATCCCTGAATTCTCACTCAGGGACCTGTCAGATCAGTTCTGCCGTTCCCCTTCTCCCTTTCATATGGGTCCTGTAGCACCTGCCCACAAGGCACCCGATGAACACCCCACGGTATCCACGGAGATAACCCAGAGCACTTTCTCCCCAGCCCCACTGTCAGCACCCACCTGCTGGCAAACTGCCAGGCGTCACGCAGCCTCTGCAGCTCTCGAGGCAGCGGGCTCTGGAAGCATCTCCACCGACAGAGAAGCTCGGGCTCTAGGCGCTGCCACCACAACTGGCAGATAGAAAGGTCACAAATCAATAGATGAGGGCCCTGAGGTTTAGGCAAGAGAGGTATGTCCACTCCAGCAGCTGACACCACCCCAGCCCGCTCACATATATCACTTCAGAAGGTCATGGGCAACCTCTCATGTACTCCATCTCAGGAAGGCTCAGAGCCGTTCCGTGGGGTACCCTCATCTGCCTGTGCCAAGGACATGGGTTGGAAACCAGAAGCCTTGCCTACACCGCTGCCTGTACGTGGACTCAGCCACACTGTCCAATAGCTCAGCCAGTTCCCCAACATCCCCGCTGAGAAACACAGGGTAGGCTACAACTGAGCGACAGGGGAAATGCCACCATTGCCAGTGAAGTAGCTCAAGTTCCATACTGTTCGTGTCAGAATCCCACCAGTGAGATGAAGGGAGAGAAAGCTGGGTTGTCAGGGTGCTAAGACAGCCAGTAACGCACCCAAAGGTCCCTGGCAAACTGCCAGGCGTCACACAGCCTCTGCAGCTCTCGAGGCAGTGGTGCTAACACAGCCAGTAACGCACCCAAGGCGACTGGCAGGGCTGAGGTAGCCTCTGTTCTCCATCCTGAGACAGCAGCCAAGATGGCAGATTCAACAAACACAAAGTTACACCCACAAGAGAGCACAGGCCGAGACCGTCCATCCAACCTCAGCCAACACTGCACAGACAGGTGACTGAGCCAATGCCCAGGCACATGGAGGGAAGGCTGCTTTTTCACACTTAAGGGGTCCTTGCTGCCTGAGGCAGGCACAGGGTGGCAGCCAGGGAGACCTGTCACCCCACCTGTGTCCTGACATACTCTCCCTGCCCCCACTTCTCCCCAAGTTTTTCCTCTTGAATTACAGTAACTGGGATGCAATTTTAGTGGGAAACAGACAACACGCACAACAGGAGAGCTGGGCCTACCAGAGCAGAGGTTAAAACCAAGGGGCACTCCGTCTGACAGGAGGTCAGGATCTGGTCGGCTGTCAGGGTGGGGTCTCTGCTTCGTAAGCAGGCCTGGAGGAGCCCCTAAAGAGAATGTGCCAGAAGTTCAGCGGTTTGCACGTGAACCCAAGCCCTGAAAGACACTGTGGCTTCCCAAAGCACCAGACACGAGGCTCCTGCGTGGCCAGGTGGGAGGTAGAGGGAAAGGGAATTACCCTGAAGAAGTGGACGGTAATGTCGTGTGTCAGGGCACCTCCGCGGGAACACAAGTTTCTCTGAAAAATAGTACAGGTCAGTGAGAGAGCAGCCAATGGTGGGAGGATGAGGATGGTGTGTGACAGGTGGAGGTGTGAAGACAGCTGCCCATGCACAGCACCACCATAGATCCTGGTGGGCTGCCCATGCTCACTGCCTTTCCACACTTCTCTGAACAATACAATTCCCCGAGCCTGCCTGCTCCGGTGCCAACACAGTGGGTGGGGGCCTCCAGGTGGCCAGGTACCCAGTGAGACAGGAAAGCAGCTCTGTGTGCTGGATGGAGCCCTAGTTCAATCTCTAGTCATAGCTGTGCTTTTTCAAAAATGAGAAAAATATCTCTGGGGTAGAAGCTCTTCCCTGAAGTGAGAAGGGGACACATTTGTCACCTTCTGAGCCACCTAGTAAGATCAGAGCCCCTGACACTGAGCCACCTGCAAAATGGAAGGAAACGGAGCCTCCTAGTAGGCGACACTGTGGTCACAGCATCACTCAAGAATCAAAAATTGAAAGAGAAATGCATGGTGAGCGAATGGTTTGCAGCCTTCATGATTCCAAACAAGGCCGGGGACGGTCGGAGGGCGCCCGCGCCTGCATTCACTGGCCTGTGTTGGTGGTGGGCGAGGGCTTGCACACCCAGCTCCAGCCAATAAAGCTCCACATCCCATCAGGACCCGCACCATAGCAATTACTAGAGCTCCAAGTGACCACAGACACACTCAGGAATTCAGGAGCCAGCCCTGAGTGACCAGATTGCGCCTCCCCTGTGTCCTGGGGTAACTTGCACGGCACTTACCAACTCAGAGTTGACCAAGTGGAAGAACTCGGCGCAGTCAGGGATGGCTGGTTGTTCTGCCCGGGGGTTGCCGACAAGAACAGATGGAGGGAGTCCGAGAAGGATTCTTGGAGAAGAGGCAGTGCATCACTTAACTTTGCTTCTCGAGACCTTAGGTCTCAGGGCTGCAAGGACCTTTCCCACTCACTCTTTGAACCAGAGTGTGGTCGGCAGCCCCCCATGTCCCCAGCCTGGGGCTGGCTGAGCCACTGAACCCTATGATAGACACTCAAAAACAAAATGTAAGACACTCAAAAACTAAGAAGCAGGGTACCAGTCTAAGTAACTGGAGGGTTCCAGCATTTCATTCTCTGAGCACACAGGGTCTTCCTTATTTTGACATGAGTTCTTTTCAACATTTTGATCTTGGGTCTGAGCAGAAAGCTTTCCTCCCAAGTGCTTTTCATATCTCCAGGCCCTGTTCTCCAGGGAACCCCAAGAAGCAGCCACCACAGGCTGGGGTGCAGGGAGCTGAAATGAATGACAGACTCCAGTGCTGTTACCTTTTGTACATGAGTAGCTCCCGCTGTCTCTGAAGGCGGGAAGCCATGTCCCATCCCCCTGCAAGAGCCTGGAGCCGGCTGTGGAAAATTCTGAAGAGGAAGTGTCCCCGAGACCAAGCATGGCCATGGGGCACCACTGGGCCCTGTTCCAGGTCAGCAGCCATCTCCTAGAAAAAAGCAAGGCTGAGATGCTCATGCATTTTCATCTCTGGTTCCAAGTGGTTCTCTGTCCCCTTGGGGCTTCCTGTCTGCCCCAGTGAGGAATGGGCATGGGAGAGAGGTCTCCACAGGCTCAGGATAAGTGGGAGAAGCCTTTTTACGTGAAATCATTAGAAAGTTGCAAAAATAAGACTAACACAAAGAACACCTTTATCCAGACTGACCCACAGTTAATGTTTTACTCATTTTTAAATATATATATATTTTATTGATTTTGTACAGAGAGAAAGGGAGAGAGATACAGAGTTAGAAACATCGATGAGAGAGAGTCATCGATCAGCTGCCTCTTGCACACCCCCTACTGGGGATATTGCCCGCAACCAAGGTACCTGCCCTTGACTGGAATCAAACCCGGGACCCTTCAGTCCCCAAGCCGATGCTCTATCCACTGAGCCAAACCGGTTTCGGCAAATGTTTTACTCATTTATCATTTGTTCTTACCCTACACATACAGTGTGGGGCACACACGTGAGGATGAATTACTCAGGTGAGGATTATACATAGCAGGCACTTGATAAATGCCTCAGTGTACAGTGTCCTTAACATGCCCCATCTAATTACTGTCCACCTGACATGTGTACTCGGCTGTGTTTGCCCTCGTCAGTCACACCAGTCATGAAGGATGCAGAGAACAAGAGGTCAAGATGAGGGGTCAGGGGAATCAGGTCTCTTTTTTGTGGGATCTTCACTCATTTGTTAGTAAATTTCCCCAGTGCTCTAAACCACAACCTCCCTGTTTTCTTTTCCATTCCTATTTCCTCAATCCAGGCACTCTGAGAGGCAGCAGGAATGCCACCAGGAAGCATGAAATTCACACACAGGACCCTGTAGAACAGAACTCTGTGCATTTCTGCAGGCAGTTTCCCATGGACACATGGACAAGAAGGCAGATGGGCTCAGATCTGACCCTTATGCCATAGAAGGTCTGAGGCCAGCAGGCATGTTGACTACACCTGCTCTCGCTCTCTCCGTGCTCCTGCACAGGTGACAGAGCCCTCTGCCTACAACGTGCCAGCCGACCCTGAGACACTCTGTGAACTGTTGATCCTCTGAAGTGATTGACATCACTTCTCAGAGCCTGACACCCAAATGGAACAGCAAAGAGTAAAGCAGAAAACAGTGGGGTAGCACCTGTGTTAACATCAAAGTTGGAACTTTCTTAATTGCCTCTATTTTCAGAATGTCCCGAAGCCTGGAGACGATGCCACAGCTTTGGTCTCTGTGTTCCCATCATGTGCACATGACTCGTTCACAGAGCACCCGTCACCTGGGTCTCAGCCTCTGTGTGTGTGATGCGAGTTTTCATCCTGCTCAGCTGCCTTAGGACCCATTATGGATATTCATAATAAATACCTTAGTAACAAAAGGCATAGTGCAGTGAACACACTGAATTTTGCACCTTCTAACTCACCTGCAATCTTGAAAAAATATCTCGATTTCCCATGTAGCCACCAAGAACCAAATCAGAATTCTCTGAGGGGTCACAAATCCTTGAACTGAAACAAAAATACAGTAAAAGCCTCCCAAGTATCTCCTAATTGTGCTGGAGCTCCTTCCCCTGTCTCCAGAGTTGTGTGTGGTCACAGGAACTAACAAACAACAAAACCTTCTGTGACAGAATACTAGCAACACAAATCCAATAACATATAAAAAGTTATGTACCATGCATGACCCACTGGGACTTATCCTAAGGACACAAGGCTTGTTCAACATCTACAAATCAACTAATATAATATACATCCCATTTAATAAAAGGCAAATATGCAAATTGTCCCCTCGAAAAGGAATTCGACCTTGTCTTTGACCAGGGGGCGGGGCCAGCTGGCCAACCACCCATGTCCCCTCCCCTGGACGGTCCCGCCCATCACCCCCCGCCCCAACGCTGAATTTTATTACTGAATTTTTCAGGGTGACATTGGTTGATAACTTTATGTACGTTTCAAGGGTACAATTCTATAGTACAAATCTGTATATTGTATTGTAGGTTCGCCACTCCGAGTCAAGTCTCCTTCCATCACCATTTGTCCCCTCTTTACCCTCTTCTACCTCTCTCCCCACTGAGTCTTAACAGCACTGAGATGTCTTTGAACATGGGATGTCTTTACATTTATTTAGGTCTTTCTGTCCCTGTCCCTTCCTCTCTGTAAAAAATCAAAATATATTTTTTAAAAATTAAATGACTTGGTTTATATTATTTAAAAAATAAAAAGAACATAGTTGGAGGACTCACATTTCCCAATTTAAAACTTAGTAAAAACTACAGTAATCAAAACAGTGTGAGGCTGACAATAAGGATAGACCTGTAGCTCAACAGAAGAGAGTCCGGGGAAAAAACCCTCCCAAGTATAGTTGACTGATTTTTGACAAGGGCACCAAGACCGTTCAACCATGAAGGGACACTCTCCCAAAGTGCTGGGAGAACTGGACATCCTCAAGCAGAAGAATAAAGGTGGATTCCTAACATACACCACCTACAAAATTTAACTCAAATGGATCAAAGGCCTAAACATAAAAGCTGAAACTGAAAATAAATTGGCTTCATAAAAATGTAAAACTCTTATGCATCAAAGTACTCCACTGAGGAGTGAAAACATGACTTACAGAACGAGAGAAAGTATGTGCAACTCATATGTCTGATAAGGATATAGCCTCCAGTTCATATAAAGAACTCTTACAACCCAATAAAACAAATAACCCAATTTTAAAATGGGCAAAGGATCTGAACAGATATTTCTCCAAAGAAGATACACTAATGTTCAACAAACTAATAAAAAGATGTTCAACATCATTAGCCATCAAGGAAAAGCAAATAAAAATCATAATGCAATATATCACTACACACCCACCAGGATAAATATTATCAAAAAGTCAGGTAACAACAGTGTTGGTGATAACGTGGGAAACGAGGGAAATAAAAATATTCCTACAACTACCCAAATTAAAAGTAAGATGCTTTTGGCATCAGCATTCCTGACCTCTGACAGAAGTCCATCAGAATGCTGACAAGGACGGTGCACGCTGTCTCCAGGTTTCCATCGCAGCCCCCAGCAGCAGAGGGCATGGGGACGAAATGCTCATGGATGGCCCACTGGTGGAAGTCCCGCCTGTAAGCACATACCACGTCTGTGCTGTAATGTCTGCAAGCAGGAGCTCCCACAGTAAGAAATGAACCCAGTGAGGGGCACAGCAACCTGCTGAGCTGGGACAGAAGCTGAGGACTCCTCCCAAGGTGCCTGAGGACAAACTACCAAAAGCCCAAGCCATCGGCTCTGCCATCTGTGAAGAAGCCAAACCCAGTATGAGCCACGGCGATCATCCCTTGCTTTCTCCTCCTGAAACCTGTGCAGACATATCTGAGGAAGGACACCCCAGGACAGGCGCAAGTACTGTGTCCACAGCTCAATGTTTCTTGAGTAAAGGAGTGAATGAAATTTTGCTCACAGATGTGTTAAACTGAGCATTAGAATATAATGATAAAACTCAAGACTTTAAGACAATGTAGAAAACCATAGAACATTTTGAGGGCAGAATCTATTAAACACTTACCTTTCTATATCTGAAAGCGAGTCCACTTCCGGGTGAATCTCCAATTCCAGCTGCACCCAGTCTCTGTAAGTTAACTGAGAGGAGGACCAGCTGGGTGCCACCGCGAGGTTGGAACCCAGAAACCACAAGTCGTTTCCCCATAGTCCCACAGGCCAGCACCCTCACATGGAGGGAGTAACCTCTGCTTCATGCCACCTCCCACTGCTGGATGGCAGTGCCGGCCCCAGGTCCTGAGAAGAACTGCTCTGTTGCTTTGTTTAACTGTACATGGGAAGCTACTAAGACGGGAAAACTGGATTGTTAAGTGGAGTGCTCTGGCAGTGTGAGCAGTGGTCTGTATCATCTCCAAACCTCTCAGGTTGCCGCTCAGCAACACCAGGAAAGAAGTCATTCTTTAGTTCCAGGAGGTAGGTAGTAACCAATAAACTTAATAACTGCTTCAAACATTCATGGAAGCATATTTATTGTTTTCAAATTCTTAGAACAGTTTCACACATCAACCCAGACTAATCTCAGAACCTAACACTGCGTGTAAAAGAGCACATCACAGAAACATGCATATAGCACATCCCAACAGGGTGAGGGCCAAGCCGGTGGTGACAGGCAGCAGTGCGGTGCTCTGGGGTGCGCCTGCTGCAGGACCTGCTGGGCTGCAATGGCCCAGGGCTTGGAAAGCACCCTAAGGTGCAGGGGAGGCATCGGCTAAGCTGCCGGTGGGCACAGCTATTCCCAGCATCATTGCTCCGTGCCTTCCACAGACCGTCAGGCCTACTCTTGCATAAATGATATAGTTAACAATAAAACAAAAATAAAACAAATGGGAATTTTTCTCTAAGATCAAAACAAACAGACAAGCATCCCAGAAATAAATCAAGTTATGTAAAGGAAGCAGAGACAAGTAACAGGGCACCCTGGCCCAGTGGCCGAGGCTCCCAGGGATTGTGCTTGGAGAAGCCCAGCCCCAAACCAGAGCCTGGCAGATGTTTAAGATACATTTTTATCCACTCTTAAAATTCTTTGCAAAATATTACTGTTGGGGGAAACTGGGCAGAGTAGAAGGCCTCTTTCTATCTGGTTTCTAAACATAGGTGTGAATCTACAATGATCCCAATAACAGTCTCAACCAAAGTCAAGTCTATGCTGCTCCAATGTCACTGGGTCAGGCGATCTACCTGCCCACCACATCCTCAGGCCCCAACCCGTGAGTTGAGATGAGGTGAGAAAGAAGGGAGGGACAGTAGTACCTACATGAAAGTCCTTCTCCTTCAATAGTTCCTGAAAGGCCCTCTGTCTCCATAGACAGAGAGCAGCTCGCTGCCAGTCTGCAGACGGCAGGCACAAGGGCCTCCAGGGAAGGCTGGCTGTGTCCTCCATGGAGAGAGGGTCTCGGGCTTCTGAGAACAATCTGAGCACAATGAACTGAAACTGAAGAGAGACAGCAAAGCATCTGTGAGATTCAGAAAATACTCATGTCGCCTGGCCACATACAGCAGGCAGCAAAGACACAGTGTCACCTGCAGTGGCCTCACCTGGAGCACCGCCTTCCCTTGTGGGGCACCCTGGGCACCGTGACCAGTTACATGTAGCATCTTCGTGAGCAGCCTGTATGTAAACCTCAGTGCACACAGGATGGTTTCCCTGGGTGGACACCTAGAAGCTGATGGCTGGGTCTGACCTGCCTTCACAGGGTGGTGCTGTCTTCTCAGGCCTCGGCTGGCACTGCTATCTTCCCAGGAAGTGACACTGGGCAAGCAAAGCCTATTGGGGGGTGTTCCTTTGTACCCTTTGCACCTGAGGAAGTCAGCCGTTTCCTTGTGTTTCTCGTGTAGGTTGCACCACATGGAAATCGGGACTGGTTAGTGTGAGTGGGGACTTTCCTTGTTGGGGCCACTCCTTTTGCTTTTCATTCCATACCTTACAATTTGGCAGCTGAGTCTAAGCTCCTCTACACCAAGCATAGGGGCCCAGCTGCTCCCAACACCAATCTACCTGTCAGGCCAGGAGGCTGGGCTTTTAAGCTTCTCCATTGATCCTAAGGGTGAGCCTGGACTGAGAACCAGGTTTAAACCTCACATGGAGGCTCCTTAAATCTCTGCAAAAGGAGCAGTAACCATACCTAACTGGCTGACACATTCTCACACACTTTAAATTTCTCATCTCCTAACAATCTAAAAAGCACTCACAAGAAGACAGAACTCTCTAGAGAAAATGGAATTCTCTGAATGGGAAGATTCTTACACACCCTCGTTTAACTTGGAACAGGAGGAAAAGGCCGTGTCCAGCCCAAGCAGAAACCTTGATAAAAAATGGGCATGAGCATTGAACTCCTGCATGAAACCGGAGACTCAGGAGGACGGAAGAAAGGAACCTAAGAGACCCACCTTTTTTATTAGGCCTGGAGATAAACAGCTGTACCAAGCATCACATGATTGGGGAGAAAACTTACACAAAGCGTAAGAAATTGTTGCGGTACAAAATCTGAAAATAAAAAATGGAAATTGTAACACAGAAGTGTGGTCCATGAAAATGAGAGAGAATTAAGTGTGAGTCCTGTCCCCATCCTCAGCCTCCACTCCTGAGCACTGGAGAAGTGGCTCTCACATCATACCCCTTGGGCCTAAGCTCTGTCCCTGCTGCAGGTGGAGACTCAGAGGAGGGACACCAACCAGAACAGACTCACCCAGGGGCCCAGAGAGAGGAAGGCGGTGAGAAAGAAAAGGAAGGGAAGCGGGGGGGGGGGGGGGGTTGAGGGGGGAGACACGACACACACCAGGGCACCTACAGGACTGACTCCCAATGGGAACTGTTTGATGTTGCCAAAGCCCAAGAGAGAGATGAGGATGGGCAATCTGCCTCCAGTGTGGACGACGCAGACATCAGGTGGTAGTAGGCAGAGACAGGCCTTCCTGCACTTATCCTTTCTGCTGATTACATCCCTCAGGCCTTTTGTCAACTGCCAGTAAACTTCGAACACAGCCCCAGCCAACAGCTCCACTTCAGATCCACCACACAGGACTCCTCAGACAGGCCAGCCACTCTCACCCCACCCACCCACCTGCCCCAAGCACCTGCTGGCCTGAATGCATCACATTGTAGAGTTAGCAGGTGTCCCCACACAGAAGGGTAGGAATGGGCTCAGTGGTGCATGATGGGATGTGTGAGGTATAAACTTGCCCGGACTTAAGGGATGATGATGGGTCTCAGAGCCCTTTAAGATGAGTCTACCTTTGGATGGGCTGTTCCACAGGTAGGGGTTTTCCCTAGAGAAACAGCTGCTCAGCACAGGGAACCAGGGACCTAACCAGAAGGCAGAACCCCGAGCCAAAATGGAGCAGCTCTCACTGGCTCAAAGGACGCTGAGCAATGTGCAAGGGCACCACAGTCTAGTGCCAACATTTTAGCACGCAGTTTAGTGCAGCATGTGATCCCATTTTATAAACAAATCAACCCTCTCACATAAATACATAGAAACAAGATTCTGGAAGGACAGACATCAAGAGGTTAATCGTCATTATCTGAGGGATACATCTGTTGACTTCTGCTAACAGAGGACACAAGTAATTGAGGGGCCAGGGGAGAGCTCACTTGAGGCAGAAGAGTGAGGACTCCTTGGACCTGCATGTCAGGAGGCTGCTGAAGAACTCAGGGATGGAGAGGCCCCTGGCAGAGGTAGGAGGGTCCATGTGAACCTCCAGGAGCACAGACCTGGACTCGCCGAGGTGGATGGCCAGGGCAGCCAATCCCAGCACGTGCGAGGCGCTCAGGCTCGGGCCCTAAAATGGGACCGAGAAGAATTATAGTTCAGCAGGAGGGAGGGTGCAGAGCCCCCTTCCCAGCTGGAGGCAGGCAGAACCCTACCTGGTGATGGAGAAGCTGGCAGAGCCTGGTGAGCACAGCGGGGAGGAGCGAGCACCCACATGTGGTCGTCACAAAGCGGGCCGCCCAGGAGCCCTGCCTGCAGAGACAATGGCCAGTCCCAGTCCTGAACAGCCCTCCCAGGGTCTGGGGGACCAGCACTCAGGCACAGGAGGCCTCAGCAAGAAGCAGGCAGTTCCCCGAATAGTGGCGCCTCCTGTGCAATGCTCAACGCCTGCCCCACCCCCACTGGGTAAATACAGCATAGCCCCCACCCGTAGCCCAGCAGGAAGCCAGAGGATCAGAAACTGATGGAACCAAGGAGAAGCTCTGCTCCACAAAGGGGGCCCACCCAGAGCAGCAGGCCACCTGCACACAAACTGCCCAGACTACCTGTCTGGTGGGGCAATAGTGGAGGCTGCTATTAGGTTCTGACAGAAAGACGTCAGCAGAAGATCCACGACCTGAGAGGAGAGACACATGGAGGGGAACTTGCATGAGTTGGATCTTTTATTATTTACACATATTTGACAGGTTTGCATTCAGAGAGGAAACTCCAAAGCAAACGGGTACAAGAATCCCTACTCCCAAACCCTGGGAACATGACAGGCTGTGCTGTCCCGCAATCTCCTCTGGTGAAATGTTACAGCAGAGAGCAGG